CCTAGTTAAATAGAATAAATAAGCAGGAAGCGAGGACTCACGAGCCAAGCTCTGCCCTGCCTGAGCCGAGGAGGCATATGGGCCATAGCTAGGTTTATCCATGAAACATGTACAGGATAGATGCGGCGAAGCACATACCAGTCTGCAACATACAAAATTGAAACTTGGAATATCACGAAGACGCCAGACATAAATGCCTGTAAATCCATCAAACGACCAACTTTAAACACTGTTGAGAAATCAACATACAGTTAATGCAATCAGAGGCACTATCCAAGGAATGTTAGGTGATGCCGTCCATGCGTAAATCAACATTGAGACGGGCAAGACAACAGCAGCCATGCATGGCATGTATAGCCGTGCTTCTTGACCCTTTATCGAAAAATGTTTCCTGGATGGCATGAGTCACGACGAATGTCATGCATTGAATTTGTTACCGGTACAAGGATTCCTGATACATATTCACCATAAAACCTATAATAGCTCCAACACTGTTGATGTGAAAGATCAGATATGCAGTATGCAAGGAATATGATAACTTTCCTTTGACACAGGAGTACAAATCCTGTGTCGCTGACGCTGAATTTGTAGACGGACTGAAATTCGGCCGTGACGGATCTTTCGTGCAATCCACTTTAGCAACCGAATTTGATCTCAAGATCGACGAGACTTACTCGAACAAGCAATACAGGATTCCCCAGATGATGCCTATCCAAAGCTATCATGAAATAACGTTAGCTGCCATTGGTGGCACACAAGATCATAGTCACTGACACTAATGCTCTGCACAACGGGTTCTGTGGAGAGAAAATCTGGAGTTGTGTTAGGAGAGACTCTGCGGAAGATTAAGATTATTTTGCATACACAATGGACGTGTGCACGACGTCTTGATCAAAGATGACATGTTTGGTTTGTCAATTTCAGCGCTGGACCGATATCTGGGGTCACCAGTCATCTTTCTCGTGTCCTTCGCAATGTGAGTTAAAATAATTGAAGAACGGGTTTCGTTCATCAATAAGATGACAGCAAGCACAAATGCTCCAGTGAACCTGACAAGAAAAGTTAACGAGAACCTCAAACATGTAGTTTTGTGGACACACATAGCATGCACCCATTGCACCCACCGCCAACCGAGATGCGGACTGGCAGAAATGAGCCCCCCAAATGCTGACCCAAGACCAAAAGCGAATAGTGATGAGAATGCATACAGAGACATTGGCAATCCGCGTCTGCAACAGTGTTAAAAATGGAGCTACCACAGGTGTTTTGCCTTACTCATGTGGCTGCCATATATCGGCAATGCTACCTCCAATCAACGATGCACCACATGAACCAAAGACCCCTTGTAGTGCACGCGACACAACCACAGTTTGTATATTTGGTGCCCTGTTAATGGTGAGAACCTGTTTGTTGTGACAATGACGCGACAACTTACAACGCATTCATAACTTCAGCGAGAAAAAACAAAGTCGACGACATGATATAGACAGCTCGTCTGCCGCGTTCCTGAGACGCAGATGCAGTTATGTCCAACGACACCAAAATCAGGGCCAGTTCTTACCTCGCTGAATGATGAAGAGATCAAAGGGACAATCCCGTAACCTATCGCGTACAAGCTCAGCCCCAAAGTCGCCTGCAGTCGAGTGCAATTCAAATCCTTTATCATGGAGTCATAACTGATCGCATATGATGACGCTGCAGCTCCTGTTGAAGTTATTAGATGGAAGGGCACCATTGCTAAAAACGAAGGTCACCTGTGATTCCAGCGAATGCACAACATATCAGAGTGATCGTCCACTTCTGCGCATAAGAAAAAAAATTTGGGTCCCGTGGGTCTCCTTCGTCAAAGTTGATCTGCTCAACGTCAACATTCCTGGATGTGGAAAAGAATTGTAACAGTAACAATAACAATAACTCACAAGTATAAACTCCTGCTCCTGTGGAACATGAATTATAGGCGAGGGTGTGATGATGCTTTTACCGGTGTGGGCCATTATCATCAGAACTTGGTCTTTCGATTAGAAGTTGGTGGCCTTTTAACTGTTGACGGGGCAGGAGCTATAATAGTAACAAACATTAGGGTACCAGGGTCTTTCCATGGTATGGACCGTGATGCCTCCCCTATTACACCATAAAGCCCGTGCATGAGTAATACCAGCATCCCTCTCCGCCTATAAGGAGAATTTATTTGCGACACTGTCGATAGGAGTAGGAGCGGTGTAAAATGATGCAGGAGTCCCTCTTCAAACGGGACAGCATGCCGTCAGGTGCAGTCATGCGTATGAATAGTGGCACCGCAATTCTATCTTATCAATTGTGCGGAGGAGCGTGATGAATGGGGCAAATATGACAGAACCTAGAATAACGAATAACCTTGTCAGTTATACTGATCGAGTCGCAGTAATTGGGTTAGATGTGATTGACCCTGGTAAAACCCAAGCACAGATTTTGGAATTTGCAAGGTTGTCACCTATCCCTGCTTCTACTAGGTAATAAAAACGAGTCAAGGGTCATTGCAAGGGAAGGTTCCTCATAAGGAAAGTGTGCTTACGCTTAAAAAAGCATGCGAATTGAAAAATTTGAACCAAGTCCAGAAAAGCCGATTCAGGGGTTTTCAGGCCCGCTAAATACGTGTAAGCCTTCATGTCCATATCACTATATACGTACAATGGACAACCGGCTGATAACCAAAAGTTCTGTTGTGCAGAGTCATGGCAGCCGCTGTGCAGAAGGGCGAAGTTATGACCTGAGAAGTCCGCATGGTAGAAGTCAGATATTGGCTACAAGTATTAGCTTTGGCACTTGACCTCATCAGAGTGCATCCTCGTACTACAAAGTTATCTGGTGGAGGATGAATTACAAGAGTATTGGCAGGTCCTCTTTGACGACAGATAGCTGACGGCATGATAACAGTTGTCTTGTTGGTGACTTCAAAAGTTTGAGAAGTCAACTGTTCGGCTCCTGTCCTTGACAGCCCGCTCGAAACAAAGAAGATAAAAATCACGATATCCACCCTGTTATAAAGATAATCAGTTCCACCGGTGACACATAGAGAATGATTTGCCACACTTGGGGGTGAACACTCATAATTTACCTAAGGAACAGAACGTGATGAGTAAATCCAGGAAACTCGCTGATCGGATACTGCAAGAGTATACGGGAACATTCGGTATACGCCCGTGCGGTGAGAGGATAATATAATATAAAATTTAAATACCTCAACACCACACACGCATCATAGGATTTCTTGCATCACTATCGCCCCACTAGAACAGCGGACGCATTTAATGCTTTCAACACCCAGCCGAAAGGAAATCCAAAACAACGCTGCAACTACGTCAGTGTTCTAGCCCTGGAATACGAATTCTGAACCAACAGGGTGTTCCATTCACCACGACTAGGGTATATCAGGAAGAATAGCATTGCCTTCCTTCATCGCACTGGACACAACAAGCGAATCTACACCAATCTCATGAGAGTGCGGAACTAGTGGCCAAAAACTTGGTGTTTATCGTAATATATGCCGCAATTCATGCATGGAAGTAAGAAGGCACGTATCAACCGCAGTTTGAGAAGTCGAGGCGGTCTGCCATGGAATGTCACGAATTTACACCTTATCTTAAGCTGAGCTGAAAGGGTTGGTCGTCGTTCGGTAGAACAAGGCTACACATACCATTAACGGCGATCCAGTATGATAAGCTGTCCACCGCTAGTCTGGGAACTGTCTGCCACTACCACTTGTGGAGACATGAAGCGGCGGTCGCGAGAAACCCCTCCATGGTAATCACATTTCCCCAGCAAACACCTAGATTGGAGGGCAGACAGATATTGTATGCTTTAAGCTGACAGGCGAGCGCTATCATGATGATCATGGTACGTGTATGTCGTGATTCGTGAAGCAGGTGGCGGCCTGCAGACTCGGAAGACCTCCCGTTCGAGAATCAACATTACATACCAATTGACATAACGCCCAGCTAGTATTACTAAGCTTACATTTCGATTAAGTTTGGGCGCCGATCCAAAGATTCCACGCTGCCATGCAACTGCCATGCACCGTTCACTTACTACTCGGATCACTGGCAGATCGATTCAGATGATCACTGCTACCACCAGCAGTAGTAATAGTAGGACGCCGAGCGATAGTGACTCATTTGCATTGTGTCATGGACTTGCGCCTTGTGATAACCCGGCCTCTATTTGAATTCGAAAGAAGATCTCTGAGTCTGCTGGCCACGGTAAGCTGGTCTTTGGTTCCACGTGTGCATGATCAGCTGGTCTGTGTTTCTGCGTGTTTCTGATTCAAGCTTTAGTGGTTCACAGGCTTCAAAAACCTTATCATGCCAGTGCCCTCGGAATGTAATCATGGAATGGCTCGGGCCGGGTGTACATCCGACCACCGGCAACTTGTGAATAGTCATACTCGCTATTTCTGGCTGTCCTGCATGCGCACCATTGAACAATCTGTACCCACTGATCAAAGTATGGTGTGTGAAATTCTGTTTTACTGTTTGCCGTTCGCTCCAGCACCCCTTGACCAATCTGATTAATAATACCTTGTGCAGATACTAGACGTATGGAGCTGTAGTGATGGACTCTGTAGTGCCAGTGTCTCACCTGCCGAATCTTGGGTGCATCGTAGTCAAGAAAGCTTTGCGTTTAGTACATTCTTTGCTAAATTGGTGTCTACAGGTCAGTGAAGGAATGACTTTCGTCGTGGCTTTATGTGTAATGTAATTATGGATTACTAGACTTTCGGAAAGATTGAGACATGATTTCGATACGCCGCATTGCCGACCCCGTCGTAGCCATCGAGGTGCTTAGAACACATGAGCTTATGCGAGAGTAGATGGCCAAATAAATATTCATATTCATATATAGTCATGGTCATCTTCGGAGGGCGCGTCCGAGTCTATATTTGCGCACTACATAAATTTATCGGTGAGTTGATCACATAAAGGTCATTACAGTCGTTGACTTGTGATATGCCAAACAAGGGTTCGTTACACTTGCATACTTCTTTCCTCAGTGGGGCTGGGAACAACAGTTTTCTCGCCGTCCAATTGTTGTTCCTCAGCTTCGAGAATTTTGCGAGAGACTTTACTATGCGAGCGGATCTTTGAACCAAAGAAGACAAGGACCTGTATGAAAAAAAACCCTCTTAGACTTCGCTACCAATCACAGTGTATGCAAATTTACACACCCACGGAATTGGCGCCATCACCAGCGATAGTAGCGCCCAGAGTGTCAGTCCCCACTTATATGTCATACCAGCGAACATCTGCTGCGTGAAGAGCGGGAAGACCATTCCCATAGTATTTCCTTTTTATAGTCTGGTTCAGCGGAAGAAATCAACATAAAAAAGTGCAGACTCACGAGCCAAGCTCTGTCCTGCTTGGGCCGAGGAGGCATATGGGCCATAGCTAGTTTTATCCGTCAAACATTTGCAAGATAGATGGGTCTGGACACATACCAGTCTGCAAGATACAAAAATGCAACTTGAAATATTACAAAGACGCCAGCCATAAATGTCTGCGAATCCATCAAAACGACCAACTTGAACACTGTTGAGAAACCAACGTACAGTTAATCCAATCAGAGGCACTATCCAAGGAATGTGAGGTGATGCCGTCCATCCATAGATAAACATTGAGACGGGCAGGACAATAGCAGCGATACACGCCATATATAGTCGTGCTTCTTGGCCCTTAGTCGGAAAGTATTTTCTGAATAGCATGAGCCATGACGAATGTCTGGTACTGACTTTCTTACTTGTACAAGGTATCCTGGTATATATTCACCATCAAGCCAATGGTGGATCCGACACTGTCAAGACGAGAGATCAAATACGGCGTGCATGTGCAATAAAATAACTTTCCTCAGGCAAAGGAATACAAATCCTGTTTCGCTGACGTTGAAGTTGTAGACAGACTGGAACTCCGTGCTGACGGATCTTTTGTGTAACTCACTTTAGCGAATGATTTCTATCCAGGAGTCGATAGCACTCACTCGATCAAACAGTACACGACCCCCCAAGTGAAGCCAAGCCAGATCTGATATCAACATCGTCAACCGTCAGTGAAGATACATAATCAGTGGTTACTGACACTAAAGCTTTGCACAATAGGTTCTGTCAAGAGTAGATCTGTGGTCGTGAGGTTAGGGAAAATCAGCAAATAACTGTTTTGCGTACACAAGGGCCGTGTACATGACGTCTTAATGAGAGATAACATGCTTGGTTTGTTAATTTCGGCGCTGGACCGATACCTGGGGTCACCGGTCATCTTTCGTGTGTCCTTCGCGATGCGGGTTAGAACAATGGATGAACGGGTTTCGCTCATCACCAGGATGACATCAAGAACATATACCCCAGAGATGCTGGGAAGAATGTTCAAAGAGGTAGCAGGACAGTTTTTTTGTCGACGCACATAGCATGCACCCATTGCACCCACCGCCAACCAAGGTGTGGATTGGCAGCTATGAGCCCCCCAAACACTGACCCGAGGCCAAAAGAGAATAGCGACGAGAATGCAAACAAAGACATCGGCAATCCACGTCTGTAACATTTATCAATAAGTGAGTTACGTCATTGTAGGTATCCTGCCTTACTCATGTGGCTGCCATATATCAGCGATACAGCCTCCTACTAAGGAGGCACCAGTTGAGCCAAAGACTCCTTGTAGCATACGTGACACGATCACAGTTTGTATATTTGGTGCCCTACCAGTGATGAGCGCCTGTATGTTACAACAATCACACGACAACTTACAATGCATTCATGACTTCAGCGAGCATAAATAATACGGACGACACAATGTAAAGGGGCCGTCTTCCGGTCTCCTAAAATATAGATGTCAGTCAATGATCAAGGATAGCAAACTGGTCAGTTCTTACCTCACTGAATGACGAAGAAACCAAAGGGACAATCCAAAACCTATTACATACAAGCTCAGTCCAACAGTCGCCTGGAGTTGAGTACAATTTAGGTCATGCATCATCGACTCATAACTGATCGAATAAGATGACGCTGCCGCCGCTGTTGGAGATATCAGATAGAATGACAACAACACTAAAATCCGAAGTTACCCGTAATTCCAGAGAACACACAACATGTCAGCGTGATGGCCCACTTCCGCGCATAAGAAAAGTTTTGTGGATCGCGTGGGTCCCCTTCGTCGAATTTAATCTGATCAACGTAAACCTTCTTGTACGTGAAATGAAATATGACAATGACTTACGAGTATCAACTCTTGCTCAGGCTCCTGTGGAACATGAGTTGTATACGAGGGCGAGCTGATGCGTTTGCTGGCATCGTCCATTATCATTGGAACCGAGTCTTTCGCTACCAAAAAATAGATGCGCTTTTAAATGCTAATGGGAGAGATCTGTGTGACAATGAGATTGACAAGCAGTCAGGGTATCAGTATTTTCCCCTGTGATGGACCGATGCCTCGCCCATTAGACCGTAAAGCCCACAGATGAGTAATACTAACATGATCTCTCATCTATAACGAGAATGTCACAGGAGACGTTTCGTCTTTGTCTCGGGGAGGCGAGGTCAAGAATAGACTTTCGGCCGACACTGTCAAATAGGATTAGTTTCAGTATGACTGAGGACAGCACAAGTGCGGGAATCCCTTTGGAAAGTGCGAGCACCAGAAACCACACATGATCCAAGTCAACACCTACATCATTGCTATCCACCTTTCGTTCTGGAGATCTTACAAGTAGGAGGAACCCGGCTCAGTGATAATGACCGGGTAGGGTGGGGTGATCGTATGATATGGTGGCGTGGTGAAGTGGATCCATATGCTTGACATATTCATAGCACGATAAATGGGGGAAATGTGGTTATAATGGACCCTGCTTCAAGATAACAATATTTCGTTAGTGGAACTCGACAACTTGGTCGTCGACATGTCATGTATCATGTTCAAATCTGATCAATTAGTGCTAGGCAACAAAAAGGAGTCATGTGGTCACTGTAAGGGAAGATTCTAACAAGAAAAGGCATTGCTTACGCTTCAAAATGCATCCTCATGCGACTAGACCAAAAGGAACTATGTCAGACTGTCTCCTGAACAACCTACTTGGGGCTCAAGGGTCTACGCGTACGGACCGCTGTGTACGTATAAGCTTCATGTCCATGTCACTATGAACGTAAAACGAATGACAGTCCGATAACCAAAGGATGAGTATTATGTAGAAGCTGGCCGTCGATTCGTTTAAATGCCGCTGGTCCTATTGGAGGGAAGATTTATTAGATTCACAAGCGTGGACGAGAAAATACAATCTGGAAAAGTCGACTTGGTAAGCGTCAGATACAAAGCATTGATAGCATTAATGCCGAGAAAACCTATATCTGCGATACCAAGAGCAAAGTCTAGGCAGAAATAAAGACATACGCACGACTAAATTAGACAAGGCTGATGCGGCAGCAATCATTCAGCCTCGGAGAAGCTGACTCAGCTGACCGAAGCTCTGCCAGTGGGAGTCCGCTGTGAATTTTGCCAATGACTTTGAAGTTTAACAACGAAAGATGTACGTATGCAGCCAACAGTTATGATTGTTGTGATTTAGACAAGCTGCATGCCATGATTCAATATTCAGCACTCAGCAACTTCACTGAAGCGATTGATGACTTACACAGATTTAATAGAATGTTGGCACTGCACTAACGGTTGACAAACGGGCTGGCGCCAGTTTTGAGTCACATGTCACAACGATCTAGACGCGTCGCGTCCACTCCGCGTTTCTCACGTGCCGCTTGCGTCTGTTTTCACTGCCTTGACATCACCCACTACTCCGAGTCTCCGTCGCGACCGTGACCGAGCCTTGGGCTGGCTTTATCTAGACACAGAAAAAGTACGGAGCATTTCAAGACGATACATGATTAGCAATAAGTCGAGTTACCTTTCAGATCATGTCGGATCAGATGACGTGGGTACTAGGATTCAATTTCCGGTAGTCTTCGTTGACGTTTACACCCGCAGATGGAAGATATTCTTGAGATGACGCTTATGGATCAACGTCCCGGTGTGCCTGTCAATGTTGCACATCCGTCTCAATCTGCGAAGACACCGTCGTATCTTCAAAAACATGATGTCAACACCCGATTGTCTTCTCTAGAGGTTGAAATACAAGGGATAGACGAGCAGATAAAAAAGTTGACTGCTCTACGGGGGACCTTAATTGCTGAAAAAGACGACCTTACTCGAGAACGCAGCCGTATCAACCTTGTGCAACCATCAAGGGGGCTCAATGACGCTGTCCGGACTAAGGGTAAGGGCAAAGCGGCTACAGTCGACTACACTGTTAGCTTCGACTGGTCAACACAGCTGCAGCTGACCATGAAGAAGGTTTTCAATATTGGTGACTTTCGACTGTGCCAGAAAGGGTCAGTGCGGTGCCCGACTTGCTTTCTAAATCTTAAAAGACCGTTAACAGAGTCTGCAATGCCAATATGGATGGCCGAGATATTGTGTGTGTCATGCCTACCGGTAGGACGATAGATGGTGTCTTTTACCCGTTGCTAACGTACTATTGCAGGAGGTGGCAAGTCATTAACCTATCAACTTCCTGCTCTCCTGACACCAGGGTGTACCCTTGTGATATCTCCCCTTATTTCCCTGATGACGGACCAGATTCTACATCTGAAAGAGTCAGGAGGTATATTTCCTTTTATCTGAAATTCTCGTTTTCAATATTGCGGTTCCTTCCAGTGGAAGCTGTAATGTTAACAGGGGGAACACCGCGTCACTTACTCAACGAGATTCAGCAAAGACTAACATCCATGGCATCGTCTCGGGCACATGGACATCAAGGTCGGGACATTAAATTATGCTACGTCACGGTAATACAGCAACCGAAAAAATGATCTCGTACTAATTTATGATCAGCCAGAGAAAATAGCTAAAAGCAAGACATTTATGTCTCTTCTGCGCAAGCTTGTGGAAGGTGGAAAGCTTGGTAGGTTGCGAGCCCGTAATATTGAAATCCTATGATAAGTTTGCACAAGCTCGGATCGTTATCGATGAAGCCCACTGCGCTTCTCAAATGGGACACGATTTTCGGTACATTTTTCGCCCCTACAGACATACAACCATCTCACCGATCGCGCATCAGCCCAGACTACAAAAAACTGAGCATCCTTCGCCAGTTCTTTCCTCATGTACCCATTCTCGCATTGTCTGCAACCTGCCCTCCGAGAGTCCTCCAAGATATTCTCAAGATTCTCAAAATGAAACCGGTGATAGATGGGAAAGGTGTGCATGTTTCTTTTTGAATGTGCGAACAACTAAAGCGATATGTCATTGCGCATAGCTGCTCCACCAGATGGCACAGTGTATTTTTCTGCCCCTCTGTACCGCAAAAATCTGCATTACACTGTCTTACCAAAACCATCTTCAGCAAAAGAACTCATCGTGACAATGTCGGACTACATTTTGCAAAATCACAGAAATGATAGTGGTATCATATATTGCCTCACAAGAAAGGTATTTTGACCCAAGCCATCGCGGACATCGACTTCACATTTTTGAAGGATGCAGAATCGGTTGCTGAAAGCATCCAAGCGGTGAGCAACGGCCGCATCAAAACGGGCGTCTACCACGCGAATGTCGAGGATGAACAGAAAGAAAGGCTTCATATGCAGTGGAGGGAAGGGAAAGTTCAGGTAGTTTGCGCTACAATAGGTCCGCCTCATGTGTCACATCACATGGACTTCGGGTCCTGATGACTGGGGTAGCTTTTGGCCTAGGGATTGACAAGGGCAATGTTAGATTCGTGCTTCACCATACAGTGCGTCTTTCATTTCAGATGTTTTCTGCAATTCAATTGCTAAAATGGCATCTAAGATATCGGTTTGTGAAGCCTCAAAACAGTGTTCTACGTATTCACCGAGTGCTCGCCATTTCACAGAAATCTCTCGACGGGTATTATCAGGAGTCTGGACGTGCTGGGCGAGATGGCCAAGATGCAGACTGCGTGTTGTACTATCGTCCACAGGATGCTACTCGTCAGGCTTCCATTACTTGCAGTGATCAGGATGGCATGGTGAAATGTGAGTCATCTCCATATTTGAATATGAACCATCATGAAAGACTTCCCCATGTCCCCCTTAGTGCATGACATATTACGTTTCGCGCAAGATATGCAAGAATGCCGCAAGATCTTATTTGCAAGGTAAGCCTAATTCGTGCTTGTGTCACAAGAACGTCCGGCGATCATTATAGATACTTTTCGGAATCATCCGATCTCTCTATGGCCTCATGGACCACGAACGAATCAGATGCAATGGACCGATGCGGCCATTGCGATAACTGCACAAGACTTCCTGCCAACGTGGAACACAAGGACGCTACAATTGAAGCGTGGCAGATTCTAAAGATACTCGAAGCTGTAGAGGGTAGCGGCGGGCGGCTGACTATTTCTGGTCTCAGTGACCTGGCGCGCGGTTTGGGTGGTGGTTCATTCGAAACTGGTGGTGGCGGAAAGCGCCGAAAAGCTAAAGAGAAGATACAGATTGATTATGATTCCGTGGCTGGGGGTAAAGTGAGGCTGTCAAAGGACGTGAGTTCTTGTTTCCCATGTCGAGTTTGATCTGATCTGATCTGATCTGATGTGAAAGGATATGGAGTCGCTAATTGTGCAGATGCTTGTGTTGCGGTACCTCGAGGAGACCTTTTCGTCAACGGCATACACTGTGAATGTTTACGTCGCACCCGGTAATCAAGCGCTCCGGCTCACCCGCTTCGCTCGCGAAGATATCGTCAACGGAGGCGGGTCCAGAATCCAATGCTCCTTCAGGAGACATGGGCGTAAAGTAAAGAGCAAGAAGGCTGGTATTAACGGGCAATCTCCTAATATGCTGGATCTTCAAGAAAGCACCACTGCCGGCCCGTCACGAATTCGGAAACCAGCCCAACCAAGAAAGAAAAGGGTATATGAAGATGTATCGGACCCAGACGAAATTGACGGAGAAGATTTTACGAGCCAGATAAGGATGGTTGATGCCGAGGAGTCGGATGATGACGATGAAAACGATGCAGATTGGGCTTACTCACTTAGACCGCCTCAACCAACCAAGAAACGGCGAAAGAGTGAAGGGCAGGCGAAGGGAACTCCCGCCAGATTAAATACAAGGACGAGCGGGGATGAATATGAGGTCATATCTCTCTCATCAGACTAATGTACAAACATGCAAGGATGTAACTTATCACCGTCATAATGCTAGAGACAGTATACCAGCTCCGATAAAATGTGGCGGAGAACACCTGAACGAATAAAACATCGAAAGCGAAAAGTTGATCGAAGAGTGCGTGCGTGTTAGATAATGATGAAGTGGGGAAGCGGACTCGTGATGCATCCGATTGTCACTCGTCGTCAGATGTCGGCGAGGGGACAGCGGTGAGGTAACCAGCAATAATACCATCCTGACACTTATAATTCGTTGGCTTCAATACAGAGCGCAGCGGGGGTTTGGGTATCAAACGATGATTGATGTCAATGCGAGTTCCTTCCTCATTCTGCCACCCACCTCCGGGCTCTGGATAGCCCTCAAGGTCAGGAGGGTACGCGTCTCCTGGTGTTGGTGTCCGATAGGAACCATCGTTTCGCCAGAGCTGGTCTCTAAAGAATGACGGGTTAGCCTTCACACACATCAAAAAAGTGCGACACACCCTCTGCGATTGAACCATCCCTTCCTTCTCTGATTCGGGAATATAGGCGATGGACATATCAAGTCATCGCACCACCGCACAGACCGTGCGAGGCACCCCGGCTGCTGTGGCAAGGTTTGAGTGTGATCGCCATCAAAATTCCGGCGATGCGGTGCGCTAGGCGGTCGGAAATTTGGTTCAGCGTCCTGTACGGGTCCCTGAACAGGAGGGTACTCGTAATGACCACCAGGGACCAAATCCAAACCCGGAGGTGGTGGGATACTAATGGAGAGGCCCCCCTTGAGGGACGATGAGCGCGACAGCTGCATGCCCATACTATTTCTCCCTTGCTCAGCTACCGGTGGAGCTGGGAATGGCACGCGTTCACCATGCTTGAGTGATGTCGAGTGCTGACGGGTGTCATATGACATAATAGAGCGCTCGCTTGCTAGAAGAATGCTGTCCTTACGTACTCTAGCGCTAATTGGGGGCGTAGGGAGTGGACGTGAAGGATAAGGGGCGTAGTTCCCCTTATTGCCAGCCATAGATGATGTTCTTGGCGGAGAACTTGCCTCCCCACATGAAGGGCATGAATGCCCTTGTGGGAAAGTCGACATACCCCTAGGGTGGTACGAATGAGGTGAACGCGAATGTGTTTGCTCAGAGCTCGGTGAAGCAGCTCTGATTTGAAGCATCCGTGTGTTTGGAGGGCTATCTGTGACGCTGCTGCTGCTCGATGAGCCGGAAGAGATCTGTGTGTTCACTGAGAATATAGAGTCGCATTCGCTCGTTACGTCAGAAGGCGAGTAGGGGTATGCAACCTTGGACGATATTGAGCGCTCATAAATGTATGTGTCGGGCACAGGTCCGGCGTGAATAGCGTATCTCCCGGAGCTTGGCTTGTGCTCGTACGATCGCTTAGCAAAGCCTGTCTCCTCGGGCGGAGGAGCCTTTAATAGCTTCCTCGTGGGTTCCTGCTGGCGAGGAACGTGTCCGGACTGTTGTCTGGACTGAGAGTCCGCCCGTGCCATAGGACGGTAGTCTAAGTCCACTTTCGCTGCATACGGACGTGCAGACATCGTCGGGGCCTTGAAAACCTGGAGAGAGAAACCCGACGGGACCGGGAGGAAATAATTCTGCACAGCACAACGTGATCAGCGTGAGGCATATGGGTAACAAACACATCTCGTACTTTGGCTGCTCCACAACGGGTGGGAGGTCGGACAGCGGGATTGAAAGAAGAAGCAAACATTGTGAGCGGGTGAGGCTCTTACATGGGTGATTTGTGAACGCAGCTTTTAAACTGGGGAAACACATAAGAGGACTATTGGCGACCATGAGGCATTGTACACGAGACAAACAGGTTGTAAAACACGCGGTCTGATGCGTACGCGAGAAATGAGATCCAGTTTACCTGTGGACGATGGGCACAATACATAGTGTGAGTGTAAGCATATAGTTGGCGAATACAGGCTGGCCAGTGATTGAGCGGCAGTCAGGCCAAAAGCAAAAGCAGGTTCAGCTATCCTTGACGCTCGTATGAAAGTGGAAGTCAACAGATGTGCGGCGCTCTTGGAGTCATGTCCTCTCATGAGGACCTTGCCTTGCTCATGACTTTGCCTTGCTCCGGAGCTTGAGAGCATGCAAACCTTATTATCACGATTTCAGTGCCAGGGCTGAGAGGCCAGCGTTTCGGGGAGTTGATCGTCATATTGAGTAAAGCATGACTTTGAAGTAAGACGTCAAATCAATGATTGATTAAACATGACTGAGGAAATCACCATACTATGGAAACGAAGCGAAGGAGGAGACAAACGTGAACGTTCTGAGCTTGCGGAGAGACTTCGGTGTCGATTAAGCGAATACTGCCGAACTTCTCCATAGTTCTCACCGTCTTCACTAATCACCAATGAAATTTTGAAACAGGGCAGGACCTAACAGAACCACTACAGGGTCAAAGGGCGACATTTCCGACGAATCAGAGCGAAAATACACAGCATCTCAGTCAATCTCCTCGCGATCGAACAAATGAGCCAGCATCGCAGAATACCGATCAAGATGGCTTGGAATGCAAGTTAGCGCGATAGAAGACTGACATGATGAAATTATCAATAGAAAGTCTCTGCAAACTGCCCACACCTCGTATTCCACAGCTCGCATTGGTCAAGCCGGAAGCATGGCAGACGGAGGCGTTCAGCCTTGGGCATGTTCGATGCACAGCGAAGTGGTTATCCGTTGACTACGGAGTGCAAGGGTGACGTGAGGCAGTATAAATTCCGTGTATGATAACAGTGACTTTCCGGAGAGTGGTTGGTTTTGTTCAACTACACCAACAGGTGTACATATTTGACAAGCCAAAGTCCTGAGGAGAGCATGATGTTGTCACAAGTACAGCATCATCCTCCACGAGTTGAAACTCTTCTCGGAAGTACGCAAGCCAGGAAGTAGTGTCCATCATGGTGTTGGTCAATGTTATTCTGCATTGTCCGAGGCACTGATAGGTCGAAGAGTGCAGATACCAGAATAGTTACTAGGGTGACAAATTTAGCACAAACTGTTATATACATATTTGGTAGATAACGGACCACGTTTAGTAGACTTTGTACGAAAACTGCGGACAAGTTTTCGTAGATATTGACACGTCTTGAAGGGCTTGACCCAAACATCCGTCATGAAGCTTAAAGAAATCTACAGGACGTCCACTTTTGCGTGGTCACCGACCGCGTCGCTCCCCCTTATTGCGACTGGCTCGGTTGCTGGCGCACTCGACGAGTCTTTTTCGAATGAATCTCAACTCGAGATATGGCAACCTGATTTCATGGACAAGAACGAATATGATCTCGGAGGAGATGGTTTGCCTGCCCCAAAGGGCGCGGTCACCGACAGCTCAAGGTGAGCGTGCTAGTCGCATGCAACAATAGAAGTCCATGAAAATGATCGTCATAGGTTCAACCGTCTTGCATGGGGTCAAGTGCATAGAGACCGCTCACGTGGTGTCATTGCAGCTGGTATGGAGAACGGCGAACTTGCCCTGTGGGACCCAGCAAAAATTATTGATAATGCCGAGTACGTACATTTTCTTACGAGGTTTCATCAGCTGACTAGCGTACCCAGCGTCTGTGAATCTTTGATCCTTCGCAACACCAGTCATACTGGTCCTGTCCGTGGCCTTGATTTCAACCCCATACAAACAAACCTTCTGGCTTCTGGTGCCATCAACGGCGAGGTGCGCAGATTCTCCTCTGCAAATTGCAAATCATTCTCCCCCTAACACGTTTGTCGCAATATAGGTTTATATCTGGGATCTCAATGACCCGTCGAAGCCGTACTCTCCTACGCCAGGCACGAGGAGCACAAAGCTTGATGAAATCACTTCTGTTGCTTGGAACCAACAAGTACAATACGTGCTTGCAGGCGCTAGTAGTACGGGCTATACTGTAGTATGGGATCTGCGAGGGAAACGTGAGGTAGTCGCCCTTGCTTACGGCGGTGGTGCGGGCACGCTTGCAGGCCAAAGTGGCGTTGGTAGTGGAATGGCCGTTGGCGGCAGACGCGGCATGAGTGCGATTGCGTGGCACCCTGACAATGTAGGCGCCCACAATTCTAACAGTTATGCCACGGGAACTAATTGGGGTTTCAATTCAGGCAACTCGTCTTGTCACAGCTTCCGAGGATGACTTGTCTCCCGTCATCATGGTTTGGGATCTTCGAAACGCACGCGCACCGGAAAAAGTATGCTTTTAATATATCCATTCGTTCACTGTTAATGTGCCCCATGTTGTTATTAGATCCTTACGGGGCACGAGAAGGGTGTTCTGTCGCTCTCGTGGTGCAAGCATGATGCAGACCTCTTACTTTCATGTGGAAAGGACAACCGCGCCCTCTGTTGGAACCCGCAGACATCTGAGATCATCGGCGAGGTATGGCTCGATTCATTGAAGTCTAACGTTCTAACTTTGTCTTTAAACAGCTTCCTTCTGCGGGTAATTGGGCTTTCCAAGTGGAATGGTGCCCACGAAATCCTGATCTCCTGGCTACCGCTTTCTTCGATGGCACGGTTGGGATTCATTCTATCCAGTCTACGAATGATGCTACAATTCCCCCTGTGACCCCAAAACTCGATGGTGCAGATGTGTTTGACGTGCCAGGTTACTCCCGTACCACGGCTCCGACGCTCAGTCTTAAACAACCACCCAAGTGGCTCCGCCGCCCATCTTCCTGTTCGTTTGGGTTCGGCGGGCAACTCGTCAGCGTTGGTAATTTACCTGCAGCCTCAGGGAAAAACCAGAGCAGCGTAGTGCACATCCGAAAAGTTATCACAGAGACAGATATCGTCGACCGGGCGCAAAAGTTACAACAAGCTGTGGATACCAATACCTTGAGCACATTCGCAGAAGAGCGGGTACGCTCGGAGAAAGCTGGTGAAGATGGCTGGAAGGCCCTCCTCAGTTTGTTCCGTGCGAATTCGAGGGACGAAGCTTGTCACGCTGTTAGGTTACTCTAAAGAGGAGATCAAGGGGCGTGTCGAGGAAGCGGTTGCGAAGCTGAAGGAGGTTGTATCAGTCAACACGTCCAGCTATAGCGTGGATGAAGCTGGTGCGGACCTAGCGAAACCCCACGAGCCAGTGGTGTCCTTTGCAGAACCAGAAGCACAATACGATGGCAGTGAAGAGGATTTGTCGACAATGGGTGTTGAAAAGACGCCTTCGGAGGTAAGCGCCAGCGTTGCATCCGACGCCGTCCAGGTCACAGATGGTGAATCCACGACTACTGCTCCAAGTCTCTTTGGTGATGAAGGTGCCCTTGGTACACCCCAGATGGATGCGGGTGCTGACTTCTTCAGCACAATCGGTGCTGCGCCCGAACTCGAAGTGCCTCATCATAACTACGGTCTTGATTCAAGTGTCGCTGCTACCATTGGGTCTGGTCCTTCGAGTGTAGCAAGTGAGAACCTGAAGAACACGTTCAAGATCTACCCCTCTGACGAGAGTGAGACGGATGGGCTGGTGACGAAAGCACTGGTGCTTGGCGACTTCGAGTCTGCTGTTTCGTTGTGTCTTTCTGCCGAACGCTACGCGGACGCTAGTCCTACTCGCGATCAAGGGTGGCGAAGATCTTCTTCAACGCACCCAGAAGGCTTACTTCGAACGGCGTACCACCTCATATCCCTATCTTCGTTTATTCCAGAGCATTGTCACCAATGATCTCTCGGACATCGTACAAAATGCCGATCTGCGAGAATGGCAGGAGATATTTGTGGTGCTGTGCACCTTTGCGAGCCAGGAGGAGTTTTCGAACCTTGCGGAGCAACTTGGGAGTAGGCTGGAATTCCAGAGCAGTCTGATGCATGAAGGCAGTGCAGAGAATGAGGACGATTCCCTTGAGTTGAGGAAGACGGCGACTTTGACATATCTAGCTGCAGGAAAGCTGGAAAGACTCTTGAACATCTGGATCGAGGAGCTCGCCGAAGAGGAGATTTTGTTATTGGATGATCAAGATCAACTGAACAGTTCGCGGTATGCAGCCCATGCCTTCGCTTTACACACTTTCATAGAGAAGGTGACCGTATTCCGCGATGCTACCAAGTATGTGGACGGCGATCTGGCACAGGTACCAGGTGAGGACGCCGGTGCCAAGACGTACAAACTCGCCGCGTTGTACGATCGATACTTTGAGTATGCAGACGTGCTCAGTACTCAGGGTTTGGTGAAGGAGGCTGTTGCCTTTTTGAAGTTAACGCCGGCAGATTACATAGGGTCTGCGTTGGACTGTGCAGGAATCAGGGAGCGTCTATTGATTGCTTCTGGAGAGCGCAAGGTGACCCCAGCTGCTCCTGCAGCAGGCACCAGCCGTGCTGCCATTCAATCGGACCTTACGTCTACTATTACCCCCGCATCATTTGGCTACGCCAGCTACCCGCCACCTGTCCCAGCTCAGACATATGCGCCTGTTCAATCCATCTCTCAGCCATCCTACGATCCATATGCTGTACCCGCCGCTGCCAGGCCGATCCACCCCACTTCAGTTCCACAGTCAGGCCAACACCAACATTTGCCACCGTCCCGTGGTCCTATACCTTCTGCACCACCGAAACGCATGCCAAACGGTGGCTGGAATGATGCTCCCGTTGTGACCAACGATCGTCGCGCCTCATCTTCACTGAATCTTCAGAAGCCCCTGGCTATAGTGTCTCCCTTCCCCAATGCTCCTTCTCCCAGAATTGCGTCCCCTCCTGCACTTGGCTCCCCACATGCGGGTGGACATGGTCAGAACGCTCCTCTTCCCCCTCCGCCACGACCAACAAGTGTGCAAAGTCGGGTGGCACAGCGGATGATGCACCCACCACCTCCCTCTCAGACTCGACCTCCTTCCGGGCCTCCTGCTCATCCACAGGGCATGCAACCACCCTCAAATCGGTTGATGTCTCCCGCCCAACAGCACGCTCCTCTTCCCTCTGTTCCTGGTCCATACTCCCCGTCCATGCAGCCCGCTCAGTTGCAGCCTCCTGGGCCGTATGCGCGTGCTACTCCTCCACCTGGTCCTCTACGGGGCCCTGGACAGCCACTCGGCCCACCTGGACCATACGCAGCGCCTCCGCCAGGACAAGCTGGTCCTCTGGCACCGCCGCCAGGTCCCTATGCACCTTCTTCCGGCCAAGCCCAGCAACCACCACCAGGTCCATACGCACTTCCTCCTGGCCAAGTCCAGCAGCAGCAGCAGCCCCGTGGAATTTCTCAGGGTCCACTGCGAGTGCCTCCCGCACCACATCCGCTTGCCGGTCTACCTCCTCAGCAGGGACCTTCTGGAGTTGCATCAGCCGGAGGTGCCAGCAACACGCAGCCTCCACGTTCTCGACAAGGTCCACCGCCACCAAAATATCGTACGTCTTCTCAATGATGCAGTAGACACATAGTTGATTATTAATTTCTAGCCCCTGGAGACCGGGCTCATATCCCCGAGTCTGCGTTACCCATCTTCAATATCATTAACGAGCAACTCACACGGATGAAGCAGACGACACAAGTACGTGATTGTCTTCTGTGATTGAAGTTCTTCTGTGACAATCTTCCATAGCCTCAACAAAGACGAATGGCCGATGACCTTGAGCGCCGAATCAATTCTCTATTTGATGCTTTGAATTGTGAAACATTATCCAGGCCTGTGGTTGACCAGTTGCTTGTTTTGGCCAGAGGTACGTGTTTCCGATCAATACGCTTGGGCAACCCTGATTCAAGGGTTGCTTGACAGCCATGGAGGCGCATGACCGAGATGCTGCATTGTCTATACATGTCGACCTTCTCACTCGTGGCTCGCAGACAGACGACATTGGCTTGTGGATGTCGGCGATCAAGCAGCTCATTATTCGCATGTAAAAGTCTGTTACGAGTCGGCTTGAAATGTGTTGTTTTACTATCCACAGGACTATTTAGATTGACGGTGTCGGAAATTGTTGATTCAGTAATGTTAAGTTTCCTGAGTGTTAGTGGTGATAAGTGGTATAGGTAATTCCGAGCTGGACGGTTTCTTATCCTTTTGCGCTGAAACTTGTAAATATTGCCCTTGCAAGTTGGAACCAAATCATACATGCAAGGAGGCTTGGGCCAGACGCTGCAGTACGTCAGATAAGTTGTGCCTCTAAATCGGATGACTGTACGGCGGATAACCGGGTATTATTGACTGCGAGTTCGACGTTCCACTCTGAACCTCTAACTGGCCCCTGCGACAAGCAATTACTGGTCCATCGCCGTCACATATATCTAGAAACCTGCAATCCAATCATCGCATAAATATCTGATTCGAACAATTGAAGACAAGTGGTGGTGACGTACTGCAGATCGGAGTCTAGCAATTCAGATCTCAGCTGATGAACCCTCTAGATGTCTTTCGTTCCTCCTGAACTTGTCTTATGCATCTTAGAACACGGGTACTACACCTCGCTACGCACCCCAAACTATACCCTCCTCAAAGCTGCTGCGCTGGTGTGCAAGACCTGGTCAGGACCTGCACAAACCTTACTCTTTCGTTGCGCCACAAAACTTGAGCAACACAATATCTCCATATTTCGTGCAGCACTACTCTCTTCGCCAGGCCGGGGAAAGCCTTAGGTGAATGTGTACGAATCCTTGAAATATCAATCGGGGGAACTTCGAATGGGGGACTTGGATGCAGTGCGGATGACTTTGTAATCCTTCTGCAAGCTTGCCCTCAGTTGTACGAGCTCGCGCTGAGCATCACCGGATTACACGAATTCGAGGAGGAGATACTACAGAAGCTGGGAGATGTAGGGAGGAAATTAAAAGCGCTTACACTGGTGCAGTGTGGACTTCAATCGCCCATCCTTTTCCAATTGCTCAAGATATGGAATAACATCCAATTTCTCAAAATTGAAAAGGAGATTGCGGCGTGGCCATGGCGCACTGCCACTACACCGGTTCTGCGGAGGAATACCGATGCTGAAGAGTTGGCACACCGACCTGGTGCAGAGGTCTGCTTGTATGAGCTTGCGCTGTCGAGGTTTCCAACGCCAGATGTTTTAACCTGGTTGCTTGAATCATCCGCCGACTCCCTCCGCATCCTAGAGCTGCGAGATATACCAGGACCCACGCATCGACCTATTCTTTCTCTCCACGCGCCGCGACTCCGCTCCCTCCGTCTCGGGTACTACAATATCTATTCTGCTGCTCTGCTCCGTATGTGCACTGCTCTCGAAGAGCTAGTAATTTACCATGTGCCCACACATTTTCCACTAGCACCCGACCTCCCGCCCACTATCGAACACCTTTCTTTCAGAAATCCCAATCACGTTTACCGTAACACGCTCCAGCCTATCATCGAAGCAGTGGATGCGCTTCCAAGCCTCAAAGTCCTGACGTGTGACAAGAACGCGGAGCAGCTGGTTGGAGATTATGAGATATTGAAGGCGAAATGTAGAATGAAGGGTACAGAGGTTATCGTATCAGATATACCGTTCTGGGTGGTGGGTGTCAAATTTTGATAACGAAGCTCCTGTTCTGCGCTCATGTCAAATACAGTATGAGGACCCTGTCAAGGTACACCGTTTTCCTCGAACTCGTTCTGTGTCGAACTTCGACGCGATGTTGTAAACACGAGAAAGAACCCAAGAAACTGCCGGCGCTTATTTTTTGTGGCTTAAATCACTACATTATGGGCAACATCATATAGTCGGAACCCCTATGGAAGATTTGTGACAGGCTATCTCAACACGTTGGTACGGGTTTATGTAGATCTCATTCATCGCGAATATTGGAGGGCTGCAAATCTGTGCGTCAAGGACTTGACAGTTTGTAAGGTTCGTAGTCTTTGAAGGGGATACTGGAGGAAGGCGGCGGCAGACAAGTATCTACAGACTACAGTATGTCACCGATGACTTCAATTTTGTGTGACGGTCACACCAAATAGCTTCGATTCGTCGTGAATCTCTACCAGTATGCCATTTGGTGAAGTGGTGTGTGGAGCGCCAGGAAGCGGTAAATCGACCTACTGCCATGGAAAGTACCAGTTATTTACTGCTTTGAATCGCCCAATATCCATTGTCAACCTTGACCCAGCTAACGACAACATACCTTATCCATGTGCCATCAATATAACTTCTTTAATCACCCTCCAGGATGTCATGGACGAGCACGGCCTTGGCCCCAACGGAGGCATCCTATTCTGTATGGAGTACCTATACGCCAACTTCGATTGGCTCGAGGCACGGCTGCAAGAACTGGGATCCGATGGATATATACTATTCGACGTACCCGGTCAGGTCGAGCTCAGCACACATCACGAGGCGCTGAGATACATAGTGCAACGATTGACGAAGATCGGGTTTAGGGTACGATCTATTATGTTAGTTCTGTCGTTAGGATTCACTGAACAACGCTAGTTAGCTGCCGTTCATCTCTGTGATGCGCACTATGTGACCGACGCCGCGAAATATATTTCCGTACTTCTCCTGTCCCTCCGGACTATGCTACACTTGGAACTGCCGCATGTCAATGTTTTGTCAAAGGTTGATTTGATAGCTCAATACGGAGACCTGGGTGCGTATTGGTGACCATGCAACATACCAACGTCACTGACCTTTCTTGTAGATTTCAATCTCAATTTTTACACGGAGGTTCAGGATCTTTCTTATTTGGAGAACGCACTCAACACTTCATCGCCGCGGTACACTGCTCTCACCAAGGAACTGTGCTCTGTAATCGAGGACTACGGACTTGTAGAATTCGAAACGCTAGCCGTAGAGGTATGTGATGAGATTTCTTGCTACGCAGTCAGAATATCGACTTTTTGCGCAGGATAAAGCTTCAATGCTTCACTTAACACGCGCTATCGATAGAGCTACAGGATACGTATTCGTACCACCACACGACGCCCCAGCACCAGAAGGGACACTTGAAGCTTCGTCCGTCCCTACATCGATGAGGCCCAACACCTTTTCATTGTTCTCATCTGCTGCAGGTCCAATGGCAGGTAGCGTGGGGGATGTACAAGAACGTTGGATAGATGCCCGTGAACAATGGGATGCATTTGAGCGTAAAGAGTGGAGACAGGAAGGTGAGATGATCAGGGAAGCGAGGGAAAGGGAGAAAGCAATCCAAGGTGAACAGAGGGGGAAGAGTGGGATCAGGGAGCGGAAATAAGTCAAGTTGTGTGCACCGATTTATGCGGTCCAATATGTTCATCTATTTTGCTTCTGAACTCAAAGACTTGAGACTTGAGTGCCGAGCATATCCATCCGCTGAGGATCTTATCTAACATATTCTCCTGCGCCCTCGATTCTGGTGTCTCCTTCAGCCGCCCATTTTTTCTCCTAATCGTCTACCACCATGGCCTCTGCGTGCTCTTTTCAGTTTTCACGGCGTAGTAGGCATCCAAAATGCTACTCCTTACACTTTGGAGGCGATAAACCGGTTTTTACTGTAATTGACGATAGGAAACGTCCGAAGGTGATCGGATCGCTTGTCTAACATGATGAAGAAAGCAGTCAGACTGCCAGAAGATGAATTGACCCCCACCTGACGTGTTGGAAATCATGCTAATCAGTGAACCGGTGAGTTCTTGCTGGCGATTAAGTATGTTGAGGTAATACAGTTTATAACTACAGTCAACGGCGACGACAACGACAACGACAACGACAACGACAACGACAACGACAACGACAACGACAACGACAACGAAGGAATGAAAGAACTTCAAGGTATGTAACAACATTCCCAGATGTGAAGGTATTCCAAACTTAACTATTCTAGGAGGCTCCTGCGACATACAGCGCAGTAGCCGCTGTCGAAGATTTGAGATGCTTGTTGACTTCATCCCAAGTCCTATCCATGCTTTCAACTTTGTCGACACAAGGGAGCCAGGCGGAAATGATGCGAGCGAGAGTTTCAGCATCTGCTATTTGAGATTGGGATGTATCCAAAAGTTCCAAAGTTCGCAGGGAGGTATGTTGTATTGGCTCAGCATCAGGATCAACGTCGATAGTTGCAATATTGATTGGAATCCGTAGTGTATGCAATTATGGACATAGACTGAGCGCTGTGAATAATCCACGGAGGGAGACTTCAGAAGAAGAAAGATGGTCGTCTAAGTAGTTGATTGCCAGAGTGCGGATGTGCGGCCAACTAGACATAGCTTGCAAGAGAATGTCATTGTCCAGGTAGATGCAGGGATTGTAAAACATGAGCTGCAGGGTTCGAAGCTGTGTAAAGCAAAGGAAATGTGGAATTGATGTCAAAGGCTCGCTGTTTAGCGGTGCAAGGCGACTCTCATCAGAACAAATGGTTATTTCTTCGAGAGTCCGACACGCTTTACAGCGGGACAGAGCATGAAAGAGTTCCTCGGCCTCTTCTGAAGACAGATGGTCGGCTTCCAACCTGAACTCTTTCAGGGAGGGAAATTGCGAGTGTTGCATGACCATGATGATGTCTACAGCATAGAACAGCTGTCGAAAGGAAAGAGTTGTGATATTGAGGAATGGTGATAAATTCACGATATCTTGTTCTGACAGCGTAGGAGGGTCATCATACCCTTGATCAATTTCCAATTTGAGAAGAGTAGGGAGGCAGGAGAGGTGCTTCCACGCTTCCAAGTCGAGCATTGGACAAGACAGAGTTACAAGCCGCGTGCACCAACGAATCCTATCGGATAGCAGGGACCGCTGACTTGTGCTGTCATAATAGTGGTCAGCGTAGATGTACAAATGCTCCAAAGCAATGCAACGTGTCACGAAGGATTTCAGACCCTCGTCGACAGTCAATAGATGAGATTGGTGAAACGTGTGAGGCAGAAAGAGGTTCAAATATGCAGTTGAAAGGCTTAACGACCTCAGCCTCGGAAATACGCATGCCTCGGCGGGAATGATAGAGAGAAGGTGGGGATGGGCACTTCGTATGTTCAATGTGCGTATACGGGAGGAGTGACGCAGAAATTGACGGGCCTCATGGGCAGATAATGGCTCGACGCCTTTCGCCCAGGAAATAGTAAGCTTGCCCAGCTGTCATGCGGACGCTCGGTCAGCCGAAAATAAACGAACAAAGCGTAATGAAGTCGTGCACTGACCCTTGTACCCCTACGATATATCAGTGGATGCAACCTTGTTACACAGCCTAGCAGTGGTTCTAACCCATGGATTTCAGTCCACAGCAAATCCATCGCAGGCTCATGGAAGATTTTGCATGTCCTTGCAAGCGCTGCAAACAATTTCTGGGTTGATGTTCGAGTAGATAGTATTGTATTATAATTCACATAGGCGAATATCTCTAGGAGAACTTCGGGAACAAGTAAAGCCTGATGCATCACTGGTACGGTAGAGTCAGGACTCAAACGTTCTAGGTTTTATGTAAATCTAAAAATATTGCCTGCGTGGGACGGGTGTTGTTACCTGCTATTTTCAGAAATTCAGTCAAGACATCGATGTGGGCTATATACACGTAGTATGGATACAATTTATTGCCAGAAACAAGCCAAAAAATGTGGATACTTCATGAATCATTAGTCATTGTTCAGTGCATCCATCACTCGAACATTTCGTCAACTTCCATTTTGCCGCGTGAATTTTTGCAAAGCCGAGGCACAAATTTCTCGATATAAGTTAGTTTTTGGTGAACGAGAGCTGTACACTTCTTGCAAGCAACGGTGCAGACTAAATAACACCAAAACCAATTGTGAAAAGACCTTGAGTTCGGATCGAGTTCTAAATCAAACGTACATATCGCATGCGTCCGGTCGAAACGTACACCACTACTACTGGAGTGGGATGGATGGCACTGACGCCGAGCTGTACCATCCTGTACCTGACGTCCTGTATCATTCATATATCATTAAGTACTTCCACATCAAGAAGAACTACTTACATGCACGAGGAAGTGCTTCGGTAACGTTGAGTGTAGCGCCAGTGGGCTACTTCCCACTCCAGAAAATTTCTGCTGATGATGCAGCGCGTGGCCACACGATCGGCTCGATATTCTGGGGACCAGACTGTTCACTTCATAGAATTTGCTCGCCTGCAGATTGCCCAGAAAGATCGATTTAACCTCGAGACTAGATCGAGTTTGCCTCCGAGAACAAGTTTGTACTGCGCCTCGGTCAAGTCTGCCAACTGATCAAAGGTATATGCCTAACGAAACACTGTGAGATGCGTGGCCATCTTCGACATTCATACTTACCTCGGACCAGGTTCTGAAGGGGCTGCTACTTCTGTTCTCCCAAGGGATGCCCGTTCAGATCGAGTATATTGGACAATATGAAGACTAACCCAGTTGGGCCACTCACCAGCACCAGAAGACTGGGATAATAAGGACATCGTGTTTTGTAGAAAAACTCGTCAACTGACCAAGTAGAGGTAATTTGATGGTGCTTGGATGATCCTGAAGCCCTTTTATACCACTGCTCCAGCATCTGCAGAAGAATTTCAATACAGACATCAGAGAACCTGTGAACAAATGAGAATGATATTTAAAGTAATATATTGTTAAGCATCGCAACAATCAGCGTAAATTTGCCAACCGCTTTCACATGGGAATGTTTGGCATTGTCGAGGAAAGACTAATTTGCAAGTACACGGGCCTGGTAGCCCTATTTGCCTCGAGGACTTTGTCACTGGCACGGGTCTAGGAGACAATGTGCTCGCACAGGTTCATGCATTGGAATATGAGCCTGGTTTGAGAAGGACAAGGAAGGAGGTTGCAGCATGCAGAACTACGAGACACTCGGGCGATGCTCATCAGTGAAGAGAACGGTGTCATTTGGTCTTTGCACAATATATTTTTGCTCGCTGCGGATGACGACCGAATGGGCGAGTAACTTGCTCTGGTAAAAAGTGTGAGTAATAGTAGACATTAATTCTCAACGAATAGTTTGTCCGTATTGACCGAATGTTCGACGAGTGTCGCTTTGAGTGGTATATTGCATAGAATAGTGACAATGTTCTGAGTTGTGTTAAAGTAGGTATCACTGCTCGATGGACGCCGAGTTGCAATGACATAGAAGAACCGGAGTCGCGCACGCAAAATGTTTGTTGGTAAACTGTTGCACAGAACCATGCATTATACGGAGCACAAATACAGTTCCGAGGTATGTGAGAGTACACACGATTTCTCAATGCATAGATTTCCCAGTCTGTCGCTGAAAAGCAATATTATTGTGCAATGGAAACTTACTGGAACACAAGTCCCACAGGGAAAGCAACGTTCAAGGTGTTGGATTCTTGTCTGCTAGATATAGATTGGGAATCCGTGCGAAAAAGCGTTACCTTTGCGGAGCAGCGGATGCTTGAGAGATAAATCAAACTTTTGTCCCGTTTGACTTCACGACATCTGTTTGGAATCTTCAATGTTCGTCACTAATTGGATAATTTTCAAAGTGTAATTGTGCCTCTATGACTCAGTACCTGGGCTCGCGCATCGATAACAGTGAGTCATGTTTCGCATCTGTACTTCCTTTATCTTTCAACAAGCATCTCATGTATTTCGTCCTGTACCAGATCCATTGCTTCACTTGCGACGGACGTTGTGCCTTCATGGCTCAGTACCTGGGCTCGCGCATCGACAACAGTGAGTCATGCTTCGCATCTGTACTTCCCTTATCTTTCAACGAGCATCTCATGTATTTCACCCCGTACCAGATCCATTGCTTCACTTGCGACGGACGTTGTGCCTCTATGGCTCAGTACCTGGGCTCGCGCATCGACAACAGTGAGTCATGCTTCGCATCTGTACTTCCCTTATCTTTCAACGAGCATCTCATGTATTTCACCCCGTACCAGATCCATTGCTTCACTTGCGACGGACGTTGTGCCTCTATGGCTCAGTACCTGGGCTCGCGCATCGACAACAGTGAGTCATGCTTCGCATCTGTACTTCCCTTATCTTTCAACGAGCATCTCATGTATTTCGCCCCGTACCAGATCCATTGCTTCACTTGCAACATACGTTGTGCCTCTATGATTCAGTACCTGGGCTCGCAAGTCGACAACAGTGAGTCATGCTTCGCATCTATATTTCCCTTATCTTTCAACGAGCATTATGTCCTGCTGGAAATTTTCGAGCTTTAACAGTGCTATGGAGATCGGCGGAACCATTTTGCTCCATTGCCACTTGACTGTTCATTCGCAATTCTTACCATACATATACAAAATTATCGAAAAGGCCGTTGTAATAATTTAATCGTCCGCAGCATAAATAGAATTTATAAATTTGCTTTCATCGAGAGATCGCACATTCGCAATATAGAGAATCGTATTTGTCATTCATGATAACATTAGTGACAGGGGAATGATATAGGGCCGGGCTGAATGCGCCGAGTAACGTCATAGTAAGGAGAGGGCAAGAAGCAAGCAAAAATATAAAATAACTAGTCAGAGTCTAATTCGGCGTCCTCCATCTGCTGTCTCTGAGTAGCTAGCGTACTGACAGACATGTGGGATACAATGTCCGCCGTCAGGTCCTGCCGATGGTTTCGTCCAAAAACTTTTCTGCATAGGGAGTTACTAGCTATCAGGCCGAGTCGTTGACGTGGATGACTTACCGTGTCCACCACTCAAGAAGTTTGTTCACTCTGGCTTGCGCAGCTGGACCTGGGGCATCCTCGAAGAAGTCCACTACATTGTTCCAGAAAATATGGTAATCGAAATCTCCATCTACTGTGCGCCAGGACGTGAGGTTCGAAAGTGCAAATCGAATCTATGGATTTCATTCAGCTTCACACTTAGTAGAGACATAGATGAATCTTACCTGGCAAGCTGCATATGCTATTGCGCGAGGAGTCACTTTCCTCATACCTATTATAGAGGCAACGCATGTCTTTACTTTAGCTTGATCGGATCGTTTTCGGGCGCGCCGATTGTTCTCGATAATGTCGGCGCCATCACCTTCACCATCCACTTCATGAGCAGAGGAAGGAGAAGTAAAGATTGCCTTTAACCCCTGCAATGTGATGAGCTATGTTTCAGTTAGAGAACCCATGTCACTCACCATAACTAACAGCTTCGACTTAAAAAGCCCGCGCTCCAGGTTCTTGGTGTCAGCTTCATAGTTCTCATACATAAATGACGGCCATGAATTCTCAGAAACGATGAATGCTGTCGTACGGTCACGAATGCCAGCCTTGACGCTGGATTCAAAATATTAACAACATGCAAGTGACAGCTCAGATCATGACATACACTGGGTCCTCCCAGCGCCATTCCGCTGGGCAGAGGAGTTTACCACACGCATCGCTCATGAATCCTCGATGGTGCTTGTCATCGGTCCTGATGAGAGGAGTCGGACAACATTCGATGTTCACCCACGAAGCCACGAGTTCTTTCAGAGTCCCCGTGTCGTCGCCCCGAGCCGAGTCCGCGCCTCGCTTAAGCTAGATTGAAATGACCGAATGAGTGAGATGTGTGACAATATTCTTTGAAAACCTTTTTCAGCATGTCGTCGGACTCTTCGTGATCGAGACCTGCCAGTTTATCGTGAAGCCACGACAGTGCCTTGGCGAGTTCGATGTAGCCACGTTGAAGTCGGTCTTGCCTGTTCACTTCGGTAAGCAAGTACATCAATTTGCATGAACATCGTTAGATGCTTACTCCGGAGTGGCATCCTTGTCACTTTCTTCACAACACCGGTCATTTTCAGCAATAAGGTCCTCTATTGGAGCATAAAGGTCAACCATACGACGGATTGCCCGTCCCTGGGAAACATAGAAAGTCGTCTTTCTATTAAGGAGGCATCGAATCTGCTTCAGTTACAAGCTAAGATTGAAAACACGCATACCTTTTCTTCGTCGCCTTGTCCTGCTTCAACACTTCTACCTCCTCCATGAGGGTGGCAATTTGTCACTTCGCCCTAGCACTAGGAGAGGTCGGGACACGCATAGAGACATGCCGAGACTGGGGGCTGCCCAAGGCGTGCACAGATTCCGACATACCAGATAAGCCTTGGAGAAGAGCAAAGATTTTTGGAAGTTGGGAAGTGCAGAAAGGATATGAAAAAGTGAAGGAGGGTGAAGGCAAGAGCCTACGAGAACCTGAACGTCTTAAATGATGGCCTGCGTCATTGACTGATCCGAAAGCAGCCTAGCATCTACATCGATGACTCGTCTGAAAGTGGCCTAGCGTCTACATCGATTACTCGTCTGAAAGCGGCCTAGCGTCTACATCGATTACTCGTCTGAAAGCGGCCTAGCGTCTAGATCAATGACTCGTCTGAAAGCGGCCTAGGAATAACCTTGGTGGCCAGCCATAAGCATGTTTCTTTTCTGGCAGTCCAGGAACCTGCCGTTTGAGATGCCTCTAACGAATGAGCTTCGGCAATGATCAATAATCGGGTGCGACTCAGAGGCTCAGTCACGCACAGACTCGGACACGGCGAAACAATAAGCTGGAGCGTTCCAAGTTAGATGATGCCCCAGGATACCAAGCAAAATTGACGACCGCTGAGGACTGCGAGGATGTACGCTCATGCTGAGTGGAGAACTGTGTGAGGGCTTCAGAACTTTGCTTGGGGCACGGTTGCTGCAGCAGGTTCGAGGACCTGAAAAATGGGGTGAGTTGTCATCACCCGGCGAGTGAACAATGGGGAGGACATGCCTCCCATAAGTCGTTGATGCCCATCACGACGAGCACGCTAGAAATGTAATTATAGATCAGTAAGGGCTGACGAGCACAGCTGCTAGATAGGTGGAGGCGATGGGGAGCCGAACGAGAACAGGGGACTCACTTACCTATAGCGAAATGCGTACATAAGCGCTGGTGGCAGTACCAGCCAAGTCCTAGACGGTAAATCCGAGAACCGTCAATCTGCAGTATAGCAGCATGCAGCGCGGTTTTTTGGCGGGAGGAGAGGTCGGGGTACCACCCAAACCGAAGGTGGGTGCAAACGGAAGATTGACGGTCCTATTAATGTGCGAAATTCGCAGTCCCTCGGTTAGCGTGTCGGCATTTTCCCTTAGGCATGTTACATTGTGCTCACCCAGGCACCCCTCTGACCGGTCCAGCAGCTTTTGGAGCTAGCTCAAAACCATCGATTTTCGCCGCCCACGGCGTCCGCTGATCCGTCCTGCACCTATTCCGTGCCAATTTCAAACTCTGATGGGCTGGACTTAGAACTTTAATCGGTGAACGTTGAACGCGTGAGCCAAATAGCTCAAACCTTTGTATTAACGCGTGACTCGGGTGAAAATGAGAGAACTAACATTGAAAGAGTCGATGCGTGATAGTAAGGCGAGAACAAGAGACTCGCGAATAAATATTAACAGTGAGAGAATTAATATTGAGGAGAAGGAAGAGTAGAGGATAGCAAGACTACTAGTACAGGAGAGATGTGAAGGTTCTTGTAAAACGAATCAGACGAGACTCCGGCAACACTACAGCGCGAGGAGTCGCGGAATGCAAAGCAGGCTACATTAGATGAATTCTGGAATACCAAGTAAACAACAGCACAAAGTCAAATGGAAACGCGAGGCGAGGTGCACCGTTCGATCAAATGCTACTTTGACTACCATTAGAAACGGGAGTATTTTCTTCATTCTCATCGCCATCATGGGCTCGTGCTTTCTTCTTTCCTTTAGCCTTCCTTCTCTCCTTTGCAAGTTCGGCCTTCATGTGAAATTTGGAAACACAGCTCTGGAAGGTATATGCGGAGCCCTCCGACATCCCGACTTTATCTTCATAGAATCCAACACTGAAATGAGCCGCTGTAGGCAAATAAAATATGCCGTGATCCATCAGTTTCTCGACATATTGGGGAAAATTCATGGCAGGATAATGAGAATGGACGGTCCCAAGGACGTCCTCAATATGTTGCGGCGGTTCGTCGTCGTCGGACTCCTCATCGCTCTCCATATAGAGCGCAAAAGTCCTCTTGAGCGGTTGGAGAGCCATACGAGCTTCTCCTCGTTCTCTCGCAAGCATTCCCGAGTTACCAGAGGTCATCTCATCGGTGGTGGGCGAAAGGTGAATATGATTATGTATGACGGGTGATATGATTTCGGTGGACACCCTCTGGAGCGACAACGGAGTTCGCTCCTTACGTGTCTTTCGAACTTCATTAAAATGGGGTGTCCTGGGTAGAGTGACGAAGTCTGGAACTCCAGTTTCATACTAAAATCCACAAGAACATAAATTATGCCGTATCCTCGCAGGCAAATAAACGTGCACGCACCAAATATTTAGCCCACTCCTGCAGGTCCCGTGTGCACAACGGATAGTGTGGAGCGTCGGGATGAGATGCATCGACCCAGCAGAATGTGTCCTCTCCAAGCTGATGGTCGGAGCAGCGTAACTTACTTGTGACTGTTGCCAACTCTTTTTTGTACTCGCCTGCAGGAGATGTACCTGCCTGCTGTCGTATTTGCTTCTCTTTTCGAGCCTGCAAGTTAATGTCATGTTGTGCCGCAGACTGCTTGAAACCATCCAAACACGTACAGTATTGAGAATTTCGATAAAAACTTGCTTTGTTTTCCTGCCAGATCCCTGTTCCGTCCTCGCAGCCTTGAAAGCGCTATCAAGATCATGCGATGTTAAAAGTCGATGAGGTGGGTCTAAGCGGCGGGCGGTAGACAAATGCCACCCCAAGTGTTGATATGTCTTTGAGACATCCATCGTGGCCTTAATTGAGTCGAGTATGTCTATGCGGCAATCTGATTCGGAGTGAGAGCGGTCCACATAAGTAGTTGATTGGTTTCTATCCAGAGTGTGTAAAGGAATTCTAAACTCGACTAATGCAACATGACATGATCAGCATCTCATCAGACCTGAAATACACACGCTTAACGTACTTTTGTCGAGTTGAACCTGGCAAGGCTGTTGTACGGTGAGTTCTTCTAATGATGGGGTTTGAGTCATCCGCTCATAAAAGTGCCGGACCGCGCGCATGCGAGTGATCTCACTGGCCCCGACACTGGGCAGGTCCGGACGAGTTCCAAGGAGGAAAGCTGCGGTTTGTGCACGAGTACGCTGACGAGCGGAAGTAATTGATTTGACCATAGAGTTAATAGAAGACTGCAACCTGAGAGCGTCACTGGATATAGCGAGAAAACAAAATATTTGAACTCACCGCAGCTTTATAAACGCGACAAAGGATGTCATCATACATTCAAATCATCTCGACTAGTATGCCGTCAATCTCAGAGAGAAAGGCTGGGCAAATAATGATCGTAAGCATCTTTCCCAGGGCTAACTACTTACGACTCGATACAGAACTGATCTGAGCCATCGACCGTGGCCTAAAATGGATCCTGCCAGGTTTAGCTTCAGGACCGATGAATTTGAAGTCGGAAGTTTAAAATGATGAAACTCACACTACAATTTAACCATAAGTAGTGCCTCCGAGTTACGCTGAAAACGTCATGGAATGTTTGCTATAACAGCGGATTGCAGCAGATAAGTGGTGAAGTCCTGTGGCGGATGCTGGGAAGGCGAACGTAGGGTGCTTGTACCCTCCCGTGGATGCGGAGGCTTATGTGGAATGTTGGTGCTGTGGGTAGGCTTGTTCCTTGAAAAAGCAGCTGAGATACGACTTGTTAAAAAAGTCAGGCTGTAATATCGACTATAATAGATCGTCCTCTGATCGGATACATTGCTGTATCTTCTACTCCGATCAAAGACCGTGAACCTTCGGATCCGGACCGTCAATAACCATCGGTAGCTGGCATAGCTATCATGTGCTCACCGAGAGACGTGGCGTTGACCAACAACCCGGTTTTCCCCACAAGAGGCTGGACTTCGTCCAAGCTCCTTATGTATTGCCGATGGAACACGACGCCACGAGACTCGAGCTCCGATCGAAGCCATAATAAATATTCAAAAGGGTTGACACAGACCGTGGTGAAAGCAGCGCCCACTTTGCACGGTGCACGGATTTCGGACTCTGAGAGTAATTTGAACTATCACTCTTGTACTTAGAATCTGAGGACAACAGGATACCGGAATCGAGCTTACTACATCACGCACGAGGTCTTGCCACCAGATAGTAGAAAGAAGGCCATCCGTCTCCCCGAGGACCTTGGCGGGTGCTCTCTGGAATGTTTATCAGTCATGCCCATTGACGAGCGTTCGAAAAAACGCTGGTTAATTCTCTTTACTGCAGAGAGTTTTCAACTGATGCAACATACAAGAGACAAGCAAACTTACATCTCCTCGTTGGTGCGCTTATCAACAGCAGTCCGCTCGATCATCGCGGAATCCATCAGACAATCTACGAGGATACTCCCAACGCGCACCCTAAGTACCTGCATCTACTCTGATGTCCACTCCTCGCTGTCCTCCATGTACTTTGCAGCCGTCATCCGGCGCGCATGCAAGTCCTTGTACCCGAGGCCCGTGAAATAACCAGTGAACTCGCCTGGGCGTGCATGGCGATATGGTTGCGCTTGCACATCTCAGCTTTGTACTCATTCTCGACAGCGCGCCCGACGGTGAGGAGCGCCCAGGCAGTTTTCATCCCATCTGAGACACCGCTGCTGCCTTGGAGGCGCATGATCTCAAGGATAGTGATAAGGGGAAGTTTCTCGGGCTTAACAAGGGAGAGGAAGGGGCCCATTCGTTGGACTTGATTGCTTGTAGCTAGCTGGCGGTTAATACAAATGTCTGACAAGCGCGTATATGCTTACATATTTTTGCCTCCGCAACGATGATCTCTTTTATTTCTGCCTCGAGACGCGTTTTGAGCTTTTGATGCCAGTCCCACATCCACTTTTGTAAATCTGCATGATGAAGTTCGCGGTTGCCTAAACCTAGCTCGTCAAAAAGTTTGGCTTCGTGACGGAGGCGCTCTACTGCAACGTCGTAAACTGATTCTTCTAGCAGTTTCTGTCGGGAAGCGAGGTCTTCTGGGAGGACGCGTCGTGCAAGGGTAACCTGAGCCAAGTGTTTGCGGAGGTTATCGAGGTTGAAGGGAACTTCTTCCTCAGACTGCGCAGGTATTACATTCCCGTTTTCATCCAAGGTTTCTTCGAAGGTGTCTAAGGAGATGTGAGCGAGATGAAAACGAAAGCACGCAATACATACAGCGAGTCGTAGGACAGGCTTGACCTCTGGGACGCCCTCCAATGGGTCTGGGACATGACTCCCAAGGAATTCTGCCTGACCAAGTTCAGCCAATATACGAGGATGATTGAGATCTACTGCAGAATTGGAGAGGAGTTTTATGATCTCTGAGGCTTCTTCTGACGATGCCAAAACGCGATCGGCGACGACAGCAGTGGGTGAAATGTCTCGCTCTATGAGGTTGCTAAGGAGGGTTGTCGGGTTGGGCAGGTCGGAGAGGTGGACGGGCGTGTCAGACTCGGGATTAAATCTAGAAAAAGTGGTTAGAGTAATAAGGCAAGGAGACTAATGAAGCGTACCGTCTCCATGCTAACAACATTATAGCATATGTAGACGCGGTCGGGTGGACTCTATCTGTACCCTTTTCCATGAGGTCGTAAAGGTGACACGCATCCTCAACCCACAAAGTTCTATCTTCGGGCTCCTTGACAAATGCCATGTGGATATAGGCCTCCAAGAAAGAATTGTATATGCGAGACTCGAGCAAGGGTTCGTGGGACTTGGTGGTTCTAAGCTGCTCGAAGATCTGCTTTGCACGGGGAACGTCATACAGGTTATGCAAACATGCATCCATGACAGCAAGCTGGTCCTGAGTTGGAGAATCAGTGAAGTAGAAGCTGTTCAAAGCTGAAGCACGGTCATCTGGAAGGGGGGTTGGCAGGATTGTGTACAGGGTCCTGCGCTTCAGAAAGCCGTTCATAGCTACAAGGTGGTTTGCTGGAATTTCCTTCTGAGCTAACAGGGAAGTATAATCTGGATGGGGGAGAGGGACTTGGGCGAATGCGGTAGCAGGCGCATTTGCTGTCTTTGTGGGAGTTGAATAAAGACGAGCAGGACAAGAAAGACGTTGCCTAGAATACGACAACTGACGAGCAAAAGATGACGAACAGATGGACTTGGATGACGACCGAATTGGTGAGTCCGAGTCCGAAGACGAATGTGATGAAATAGGGGAGGAGGAACTTGGAGATGACGAAGATCCTGACGGCTTTGAGTTTGACGGGGAAATTGAGGAAATGTTTGATGACCTCTCGTTTTGATATCCAAGTCATTTCACTATAGCTGCTAGGTATCCGGCGCTGGGACAACGATTGGCTGATGGACCAGACATGTAGCTGCATCGGTGAATGCATGACTTTCTTCAGTATATCTTAGAATTCATCAATCGCGTTTGGTTTTCAAACGAGAGAATGCTGTAAACGTCCAGGCACCTGTGTGCGTGAATTATTTACCTTTTTTGTCAAAGACCAGGCCTAGATTCAGCCCACAGCCCGGGCTCAGCGCTCAGGCTCGTTTCGTCCCACCTCACGTGTGTACTGTCATCTCTTTGTTCTTCTGCCGTCCTTGGTCGCTGTATTCAATTTCAGGTGCGATCTCGCATTAGAGATGTCACGGTAGACTCGAGCAGCAAGTCCTTAGTTTGCTGGAGAAGCACTATACGGTGAGATCACTATGCTTCTCCCCAGATGGCAAGAGACTCACAAGCGGGTCATTGGCTGGCAGTCTTCGGTGTTTTCAAGTTATGTCAACGGTTGTCTTCAGCCCAACTAACATTTGCAGAACGTGAGGCTTGGAGCCATATGGCTACGTCAAGGTGCGTTGTAACAAGTTCGTCGGAGCTTCTCGTGCTGAGGTGAAACATTAGGTTGGGATCGATCTTCCGACATCTTTCGTGTTGAGGTGAGCATATGAAGTACCACGTTTCCATACTTGTTTACACTATTCCTGCCTACATCAGCAAAACCGCCACCACCTGCCAAGAAGGCCGCTGTAGCGCCTACTACTTCCGCGTCAAAGCCAACAGCCATGAAGAAAGAGACGAAACCCGTTCTCGCCGTCAAAGATGTTCGTTCCGATTCCTCATTCTTTTCTGCGCCGAAACCGAAAGCCAAATTACCAAGCTTCAAGAAAGCCCTGGCGCCTGTCAAGAAGGAGCCTGATCTCAATGTTGCGCAACCGTCATCGATCGTTCCGTTCCAGGAGGCACTGAAGTCAATGGGTAAAGGGCGTAGGGACTCTCCAGTAACGGTGTAGAAACAACAATACTGAGAGGAACAAAGAAAATGCTCCTGACTGTATCTAAAAAGTTGTAGGTCGTGCGTTGCCTAGTCTGCTATACTTGAAAGGACAAGTGCATTCGACCCTAAAGGGGAAGCAGGTGCAGCGGAGATCTAGAGGTACGCGCTTCAGCGAAGCGCGAGAAAGCGCAGGTGCGCGCAAGGTACGAAGGCGCGGGAACGCGCGCGCGTATTAGCGCGAAGCGCGGGAAAGCGCGCGCGTGTAAGCGGAAATAAGAGAGACTAAACTTATGTGAAGATATAAGCAAGATAAAGGATGTGAGATGTGTTGTGCTAATGAATAGATTTCTACTGCGACTTTCTAAGTAGTAAGTACTAGGTAAAGTTGGGTGAAAAGTAAGGTAAATAATAGTATGTACTGCTGGCACTTATATAGCGCGCCTAAGCGCGCTCATGCGGAGCCGAAGCGCTACCGAGTAGGTATGTAAAAATATATATGAGTGAGAAACTATGATAAAAATAAAGGTGGAACTATGCTAATAAAGGAAATGGAAATATACGCACTAGGGAGCTTGGTGGACAGTGGATGGATGCATCTGGATGGCTGGCGCTATAGGGCGCGCAAGCGCGGGAACGCGCGCGCGCGTATACATCGTGAAGCGCGGGAATGGTGCGCGCATGGTGCGCATTGCGCGGGAAAGCTGCGCGTCATATAGGAATCACTGTGGATGGTACACAGAGTGATGCTGCGAGTTGGTGCTGTATACTCCCTAGTGTAAAGTGCCATATCACACTATGAGATGCACGAGTCTCTACATCTCCCAGGGACTTAAATTCTGAGTGTCCCCACTCAGCGCGCGCGTGGTGAGGATTTTGCGTGAGAGTATGCAAGTGCGATGCTTGTACGATGCTTTGGTTGTTGGGTGATGAATGTGCGAGTGCAGGAATTATCGCGTGATATGCAATGTATGCGAAAGCGCAGGCGCGCGCAAGGTGCAAAGGCGTGGGAAGGTGCGCGCGCATGGTATGCGCGAGGCGCGAGAATGTGCGCGCGCTATGCATGAAGGCGCGGGAATGAAGCATAGCATGGTGGATTGCGAGGGTGACTCTGATGTGAATAATATGCCATGGGTGTGGGGCGATGATGCGAGAGTGATATGGATGTGGCGCGCAAGGTGTGGGCGAGATGCGCGCATATGGCGTAAAGCGCGGGAAAGCGCGCGCGCACAAGGCGCGAGAAAGCGCGTGATTGTCGCATGTGTTGTATGGTGGGTATGATGCAAAGTGGCGCAGTCCAGGAGCGATCCAATCCATGTCCAGACCAAGTCCTGCTAGGCGCGCTAAATATTAGATGCTAAAGGTTTGAACATTGTGAGTAAAACTATATGTGAAAATATGAAGGGAAAATGGTAGACTTTGCGGATGTCCTATCCGACTTGTCTTCTTCGTGCAGCTGTCAACATCTACACCTTCCTATGAGCAAGGCGCGGGAAGCGCGCATGTGTGCGCGCGCGAGGCGTATGGGCGCGTGAATATTGCGCGCGTATGTGCGTGTGAGCGTGGGAAGACTGCGCGCATATGTGCGCGTTCTAAGGTAAAAAGGGGCATGGTGCCGCGTCATGCGTGCAAAGAGAAAATAATACTATTGAGCTAGGCGGGCACGATCTATGGTTGTTTTTCTTCTATGTTCTTCTAGGCAATCCCTATATGCATATATATCAGTGTGTTATTAGTCTTTTGGACAGTGTTATAATGAGAGAAAATGAAATGAAAGAGCGCTGGACGAAACCCAGGGTAAAACAAACAATATCCTATGAAACAGTGTTGGTATATGTTCCTCCTTTGATGCGCGGCTGAGGCGCTTGATCCTCCTCCTTGAGCGCGTGCGAGTGCGCGTGGCTAGCGCGCTTCGCGTCTCTTGCGAGCTAACGCTTGACCCAAGGTAGGGTTGGAATGCGCGAGGCAGTTGGCGCGCTTGGGGGGGCTTGTAACTGGCAGAATGAATTCCTGCACAACGCGCTGCAGGTTGAAGGCGCGCCAATGGGAGGCGCAGCAAGGGGTGTAGAGGCGCCCTACAAGCTGATAGGATGCGCGCGATGTGCGCGCCTTGGCGCAATTTCGCGCGAATTTGATTATATTGGCCGAACACGCGAGGAACGGCCATTTCTCTGCAAATTCATTAGCGAGAGACATGTATAGTGAAGAATTAGGCGCAAATGTTGCGCCAATGGGCTGTAAGGGTGGTATATCAAGGCGCAATAGGCGCATAGGTGAAGGAGAATAGTGCGCATCAAGGCGTGCAGGAACGAAATTGACATGGTAAGCAAAAGTGCGAAGAATGCGAATAAATGTGCGAAGTGCGAAGTTAAAGGTGATGATAGGGGGGTTAGGCGCATATGTATGTGTCAGGCGCGCGCCTATGTCGCGCCTGGATGTCTGATTGGAATATACCTTGTGTTGAATGACAGAAATGAAATTTAAAAGGGGAGAAGCGATAGAAATGCGGTAGCGTGAAAACTCTGCTAAATTTATGAGTGCACGAGGCACGGGAACGCGCGCGCATATTGCACGATGCGCGTGATCATGGCGCGTGAACAAGGGGTGGTGAGAAGATGAAATTAAAGTGTTTGGAATCATCATATAGCTCCTTAAGAGCTTCAAACGTGAAAAGGACAAAAAGCGCGAAACAAGATGAGGGTAAATATACACTGCCTCTAGGCGCGCGCATTGCGCGTCCTTAGGCGCAATATGGTGCGCCTGAGACGCGCCAGGGTCGCCTGAGACATGCTCTGCTTGATGGTTAGGTGGTGTGATGCATGGATGTTTTACCGGCGCGCGGTAGTCACTAGAAGCAAAGAGCGCGATGTGCGCGTGATCGTTAGTGACAAATGGAATTACCAGAGACAAACTCTGGTTGATGCAAGATGCGACTTGAGCCTCCGGTGTGGCAGAAGGCTCCTCTATAGGCGCGCTAAGGCGCGATAGATATTTAGGGTCATCCCTGACCTCTGGTGATGCAAGCAGTGATGGTGATGGTGCGATTGGCGAGGTTTCTTCCTTAAGCGATGCGATAGCGAGGGGCAAGCGTGTTTCTAGCGGTGCATTAGTGTGCAATAGATGATTAGAGTCATCCCTGACTGCTGGTGATATGATAGCGATGGGCGCGCGCGATGCGATAGCGATAGGCGCGCGTGTTTCAACTGGCGCGTTAGTGTGCAATAGATGATTAGAGTCATCCCTGACTTCTGATGCGATTGATGGTGATGGAGATGATGCGGATTGTGAAGGAGATGATGCTGCTGAGGATGATAGTGAAGAGGCGCCTGCAGCGCGCTTTGCGAGCGCGCGTTCGAGTTCGTGATCTAAAGTAATGCAGTCTGATATAGCTTTGCATGCTGGCGCAGTTGATGCTTGAGGTGCGCGTGAATCGCGCGTAGGCGCGGGAATCGGGCGTAGGCGCGGGAAAGGCGCGCGCGCGAGGCACGTGAATAGGAACTGGTGGCTTTCTGTCAAGTACAACATCTGAGGGTGCGCGATAGAAGAGTCCAGCTGTTGCATTAGTGCTAATGGTCGTATCCTGTGTTGCGCGATGCGCGTGGTAGCGATCTTTGTACTTAGCTACCTTAGCTTGCACTGGTGTGCTTGGCGCTACCACAGGTGCGCTAACTGGTGCGCTTACTGGTGCGCTTGGCGCGGGAAAAGCGCGCGCAGGTAATAGGAACTGCGCAGCTGCGAAGATGTCCATGAATGGGTATGGGTCGTATGGATGGTGGTCAGGGAACTTGATCATAAGGCGCAAGCGAATTTGCGCCTGAGCATCGCTAGGGATTCCTTCCATGAATAGGTGGTCGCGTTCGGCCTTTCCAATACGGTCTTCATCCATGAGTGGCTGCATAACCTTCCTGAATGCGCGCAGGTAATTGCTGAGTTCTGTGCAAGAGGTCATTGGTTTGTTAGCGTATTCGCGCGCGATAGCGCGCAAGTCCGCGAGCGCGTAGCGTCTTTTACCATCCCATCCAGGATACATTACCTTCACTTCTGTCATGAATGCTTCATAATCACTTACTGCCGCTTCTGGCATACCTCCCCATAGTTCTCGATCGTCGCGCTCAAGGTAGCGGATAATACCTTTAATGCAGTCGTGTCCTTGGAGTCCTGCTTCATCAGCAAGCTGCTCATATGCGTCAATAAATTCGGCGAGGTTGTCTGTAGTGCCGTTGAACTTGGGCGCGTTTGCTGTGCCGCAGATGGGCAATCTATAAGGCATTGAGGCGTGCGAAGGCGCATGCGCACGCGAGGCGTATAGGTGCGCGCGTAAGGCGCACAGGCGTGGGAAAGCGCGCGCACAAGGCGCGAGAATGCGTGACTAGAAATTGGTTAGCTTTTGAATATGCAAAGAGATTGACCTTTATGCGTTAAATAGCGTGAAGTGTGAAGATGCGCAAAACTAGATCTTGCTGACTGCTCCCCTCGCGGTGGGCTCCAGTTGTAGAAACAACAATACTGAGAGGAACAAAGAAAATGCTCCTGACTGTATCTAAAAAGTTGTAGGTCGTGCGTTGCCTAGTCTGCTATACTTGAAAGGACAAGTGCATTCGACCCTAAAGGGGAAGCAGGTGCAGCGGAGATCTAGAGGTACGCGCTTCAGCGAAGCGCGAGAAAGCGCAGGTGCGCGCAAGGTACGAAGGCGCGGGAACGCGCGCGCGTATTAGCGCGAAGCGCGGGAAAGCGCGCGCGTGTAAGCGGAAATAAGAGAGACTAAACTTATGTGAAGATATAAGCAAGATAAAGGATGTGAGATGTGTTGTGCTAATGAATAGATTTCTACTGCGACTTTCTAAGTAGTAAGTACTAGGTAAAGTTGGGTGAAAAGTAAGGTAAATAATAGTATGTACTGCTGGCACTTATATAGCGCGCCTAAGCGCGCTCATGCGGAGCCGAAGCGCTACCGAGTAGGTATGTAAAAATATATATGAGTGAGAAACTATGATAAAAATAAAGGTGGAACTATGCTAATAAAGGAAATGGAAATATACGCACTAGGGAGCTTGGTGGACAGTGGATGGATGCATCTGGATGGCTGGCGCTATAGGGCGCGCAAGCGCGGGAACGCGCGCGCGCGTATACATCGTGAAGCGCGGGAATGGTGCGCGCATGGTGCGCATTGCGCGGGAAAGCTGCGCGTCATATAGGAATCACTGTGGATGGTACACAGAGTGATGCTGCGAGTTGGTGCTGTATACTCCCTAGTGTAAAGTGCCATATCACACTATGAGATGCACGAGTCTCTACAACGGCCACACCGCCACCAGCTTCGATTACGCCGCCCCTGGTGACTTCTGGAAGAACAAAGAGAAAATCCGTGACTTAGGCTCCTGATGGTCAGCTAGAATTGATCCGGCTGATAGAACGAGCTGTGTACGTTGATGACCCTGTTGATGTCAGCATTCTACTCGTTTTTTATGTTGGTGTACAGTACTTATATTGATGTCACGAATACCTTTGTGTATTTTGTTCACATAGGGTGTCCATACTGCTCACAGTTTGCGCGATCTGGATCGGGGAGATGGTGCTGCTCTACATGCTCCCCTATTCGAAGAAGTTATCGATTGGACGGATCCAATAAGTGAGCAAATTATCATTGTTATCACGAGTCGCTACCAATTAATAAACGCAATCTATAGATCTCGAATTCGATCTCGAAGCGTCCCAACGCGGACAGAATAATACAGAAAAGACGACTCAGGAGGAGCGTGAGCAAACAGCTTTGGGTGCACTATACATATCGTCAGCGCAGATACCTGACAGTCCTGGCGAGCCCACGACGATAATCAGTGATGACAAGATAGATGTGGACGTGAAGACCATGACGGTGGGGTCAGAGTGCGATAATTTCTTCTGGAGAGAAGCCAATCTACCTCAGCCCAACGCCGCATCTGTCGCCGATCTCGTAGGTCAATTATCGGGAGGTTTTGATTCGATGAGTGCGCCCAGTAGTGCGGGTATCCAATCATTTGGCTTTGATCCCACAATGCTTTCAGGTCTATGTCAGACAGCATTGATACGCCCGGAATTCAAAAATCAAAAGAAGCCAAACACGCCGTTTTGTGATGTCGGATGCTTTTCCAATTCATGCTATTCTGGTACACGTGGGAGGTCAGGTTACATGGTATGTGGCGCACAAACGTTCCTCTGTTTCTAACCATCAAACGCGAACGGACAGGTCCGATTTTGGTACCTTTCTTTTGACGAGGCCACCCCGCGGAATTGGCAAGGTTTGGACAGGATGGATGCGGTAGTACGTCCCAATGTCCACTGCGTGGAGGACTTGAATGCATTCTCGGTGAATTATGGTGAACCGTCAAAACGCGCCATTAGGAATATACTTCACGTCGAATCGAACGACGGCCCAGTTCTTGACTCGGATGACGTTGAGGTCGAGTACCTTGTTGGACATACGCATCGCCACGAGGAGGGTATCCCTCTTCTCGTGGAGAAGTTCAACGGGCGCATCTACGCACATTTCAATGAGGCCAACCAACGAGCCCAAATGGAGTAGTAATATCAATGATATCCGTTTCACTCAAAGAATGAGGAAAATTGGAAGAAGCGCCCCTCGATTGATTCGTGCTTTGAAGTTGGTTTCACTGGACCTCTTAGTTTGATGAGGACATATATGGCCTCGATATTAGCACACATTGTCCGAAGAGCTGTCCAAAGACCATTTGAACAAGTTCGGCGAATTGATTCCAGTTGTTAACTTACTAATTCGGGTGTCTGCATAGCACAGGGTGCCCGCTGCGCCTCAAGACACCTACAGTTTGAGAAAGATTAACAATATTAATTAATGGTAGTGAGCTTTCATCCCTTACTGACTACAATGGTGGTTGTCGCAACTCTGCCATGAATCGCCAGGCTAAACTATATTTTTTGACTGGTGCTAAAGCCATTATCCCTCAGAAAGTCACGGATAACATTTAAATCGAGGTAATATTTGATGGGAACTGAGAACGACTAACAGCATCAACGCTAGTGAGCTTTCATCCCTCGGTGGCCGCACCGGTGGTATGTCGCAACTCTGCCATGAACCACCAGGCCAAACTATATTTGCTGTCAAAGGTTAAAGCCATTGTCCTGCGGAAAGTCTTGGATAACATTAGAATCAAGGTAATATTTGGTGGGAACTGAGAACGACTAACAGCATCAACGCTAGTGAGCTTTCATCCCTCGGTGGCCGCACCGGTGGTATGTCGCAACTCTGCCATGAACCACCAGGCCAAACTATATTTGCTGTCAAAGGTTAGAGCCATTGTCCTGCGGAAAGCCTTGGATAACATTAGAATCAAGGTAACATTTGATAGGAACTGAGAATGATCAACGTCACCAACGCTAGTGAGCTTCCGTCCGTTGCTGGCTGCGAAGGTAGCTTGTTATGATTTTGTTAAGGTCTCATCTAGCGAGTCTATGTCGGTGACCATCCATGGCTAAGTATGATCAAGTCAAATTTCTCGTGGTATACATAGTCATATTCGGTAGGAGCAGAATTACATCATCCTACAGCTGCGACGGCTACAATTTCAAGGACTCATGAATTCACTGATGAGATTCTGCTTTCGCCACTGGCAGGAAACGGAGTGTCTATTTGGGCTCATTCAACTTATTAGTGGGTGCGTGAGACAGAATATTTTTAAAGCTTGTCTGACTTCAATGAAGGATGCAGAAACGGACAACATTTCTAACTCGTCGTTGTTGTTCACGAGTGCGAGGATGTTGATGCATTGATGGCTGACAGGGACGGTGACATCGACGCGGGCTCGTGTTTTCGAATACTTGTGTAATGCCGATAAATTATAGAACACAATGGTACAATCCTCCATACCTGAGACATTGATGCTGTTGAATAACTCGGCAACAGCGTATGCGGCACTGTCAGCAAGATAATATAGAAAGCAGGCTTTGGTGGAGAATGATGATACCCGGAGTATGGCACACATGGTCAGTCAAAACTTATACCGCCACAAAGCGCGATCACACTTAACAGTTGTACCATGCGCAAGTGCAGGACACAAAGAATGAATGCTGCCTTCCCCATGTGTCGTGGGCTATCAGGAGCTGATCAAGCACAATCTCTGGCTAGCGCTTGAGACCCGTATGTCAACTGTCTTCCTGATACGGTTCAATAGTAGGCCTCTGCCCAATGTGGACTAGTAAGCATCAAGGATTAATACCAACGCTATACCGTGCCTGCCATGTATCGAGCTAACCGTAATACGTCACAGGGCCTTGGTTATATGTCTAATTTATACCCCACCATAACGCGTTAGAGGAGGTCAGCCACTCCAACACACAGGCATCCGATGATGGGCCACTGGTTGCTAACTTTGCAACTGCGGCGGTATGTCACTCACGATCCACGCCATACGGTTGCCTCTATATACACAGATATAGTTTCGGTGTTCAAGAACTCATCGATGCACTAACCAAGCTCAGGTGCTTACCAATGAAGCCGTTCAGCCTTTAAAAAGAGTTTCAAGATTGGCCGCAGCACTTCAAACCCCATGTCTCAGTGCTCTATGATGCAGACGCTTGTCCTGTACGACGCCCTCTCCAACCTACCAGGCAATAACTTTTCAGCCAACCCCGCAAAGCCGAGGTCAGTAATTCATATTCTGTATGTCACACTTTGATATCTGACCAGCCTGCTGGGCCCTAGGTTCGTTTTGAGCTACAAGGGTCTTCCGTTCGTGACCGCCTGGGTCGAATACTCAGACATCTCGATCGCTATGAGGGCCATCGGCGCAAAGCCAAACAAACGCTCAGACGGCTCGGATTTTTGCACTGTTCCCGTCCTCAAAGACCCCAACACCGGCGCCCTCATCAGTGACTCCCTTGAAATCGCCTCCTACCTCGAGAAGACATATCCTGAGAAGGCCATTTTTCCCAACAACTCAGAATCCTTGATACGCGAGTTCAACTCCGCCCATATCAGACTCATTCTACCTGCTTTTAAGTCTATCTTCGTACGCTCCGCAGAAATATTGAGTCCCGCCAGTGCTAAGTTCTTCATCAAAGTTCGTTCCATAGACATCCCGCTGCCTTGGGATGCGACTTACGATAAAGACTGGGCCCTACTAGAGAAGGGGTTCAATACTACTTACGAATGGTACCAGAAGACAGACGGGAAGTGGTACATGGGTGACACTTTTTCGTATGCAGATATCATTGTAGCTTGTTATTTGCTGTGGTTCAAACGAGTACTGAAGGAGGATGAGTGGGTCAGGATCAGTTCTTGGAATGGAGGGAAATGGGCTCAAGTTCTCGCAGATGTTGAGAAGGAGTGCGGATTAGCGTAGGAGACTGCGTGTAGTATTATAGCAGTTTTTTCGGAGACATTGAGAACAATGATAAATTCCTTCAACAGGACGACCCAGCCTGGCCACCGTTCACGAAATGTGCACCACGTGTCTGGCTTAGATCAATGTTATGTGGGCCTGGACCTCCTGAGCCTGAGATTGGACTAACTTACTAATAACATGGATAGCAGTGCACACGGTTAGTTAGGCTGAGTCATTGATGCAACTTATACAGCCACCAAGCACGCATCATTTTGTACAATGCGTGCAGGCCACAAATGGCGGGCGCTTGACACCCGTACGTGAACCTCTTCTCGATGACTCAACGTCCTAGACCTCTTAGTACGCATCAAGGATCAATACCCCACCATAACATGCGTCGCGTTAGAGGAGGTCAGCCACTCCGACACAGCTTCCGATGACACCACTGGTTGCTAACTTTCAAACTGCGGCGGTACATCGCCCATAATCCATGCTACATGGAGGTATAGTTTTGATGTTCAAGCATGCTAACCAAGCTAGATGCTTACCAATGATGCTGCTCAGCCTTCAAAAAGAGTCTCAAGATTGGCCGTAGCACTTCAAACCCCACGTCTTAACACACCATGACGCAGACACTTGTCCTGTATGACATCCTCTCCAACCTACCAGGCAATAACTGGTCACCCAACCCCGCAAAGCCGAGGTCAGTAATCCATGTCCTGTATGTCACTTTGATATCTGACCAAGGTCTTCTATGCCTCAGGTACATTTTGAACTACAAGGGTCTTCCATTCGTGACAGTCTGGGTCGAATACTCAGACATCTCGATCGCTATGAAGGCTATCGGTGCAAAGCCAAACAAACGTTCAGACGGCACGGATGTTTACACCGTCCCCGTCCTCAGCGACCCTAACACCGGTGCCCTCATCAGTGACTCCCTCGAAATCGCCTCCTACCTCGAAAAGACATATCCCGAGAAGGCCATTTTTCCCGACAACTCAGAATCCTTGATACGCGAGTTCGACTCTGCCCATTTCAGATTCATTGTACCTGGTGTAAAGCCTATCTTCGCACGCTCCACAGAAATAATGAGTCCCGCCAGTGCGAAGTTCTTCATCAAAGTTCGTTCGATAGACGTGCCGCTGCCTTGGGATGCGACCTACAGTGAAGACTGGGCCCTACTAGAGAGGGGGTACAATACTGCTTACGAATGGTACCAGAAGACAGACGGGAAGTGGTTCATGGGCGACACTTTTTCGTATGCAGACATCATCGTGGCTTCTTGTCTGTTGTGGTTCAAACGAGTTTTGAAGGAGGATGAGTGGGTCAGGATCAGTTCTTGGAATGGGGGGAAATGGGGCCAACTTCTGGTGGATGTTGAGAAGGAGTGCAAATTGGCGTAGAGGATTGCACATACTATCACATTCATTTCGGAGACATTTCAAACAATGATAAGTTCCTTCCACAGGTCAACCCAGGCCAGCATCATAGTCACAAAGTGTGCACGCTAAGCTTAGGTCGTGTGGACCCCCTGAGCCAGGATTTGGCACGAAAAGTGGCAGGGAACAGCACTCATCTGAGCCGCCTAAGTAACCACTCATAGGAAGAAAGCACAAGCTTACGCACCAACAAAACCCCCAAAAATCAACGTATTGCGAATGTCGCAAGTCATACATTACTTTCCAATTTTAGGGGTCTTCCGTCTTCGTCGTGTCAGATCCTTTGCAGAATCAAATACACCTACATAATCTACAATATTTGATGGGTTTCGTCATTAGCGGAGATGTCTGGTTCCTACAGTGATTGAGGGTTGCGCAAAAGTACAATGTCATGGTGTCATTGATGGTGAGCGATCGTAAGACTTACATTTCCCATTTCCGAATAATGTACGACTCATCGCATCAAGACGAAATCCTATCAATGGCACTACGCGTTGAGCCAGAAAAATCACAATGTGTTCCGTTCGTTGATGGCTTGGACCCGATGATACCTTGACATTATTGGCCAGTGCGCAGCTGTAGCAAGGTCCGGCAAGGTCCGGATATTCTTCCACGGCCACATTGATGCCTTCCGAGGCGGGCGGAAATGTCCGTGCTAAATCTATCTTTAGACAAGCATCCGGGCGGAGATGTCCGAGAACCATGCTAAATCTATCTTTAGGCGACGGGCGGAGATGTTTGAGAAGAACTGTTTTCTAACTGTATGCTTTATGTACGCTTCCTCA